TGTTATAATAGCACCATTTATCAAAAGTATAAAACAGCTGTGAGTCACTACCTGATACCGATAAAGGTCAATATTATCTACTAAATAGCTCTCCCTAGTTGCAGGGGTCCCGATCCCGAATGGAAGTCGGAAGTATAAAAAAATTGCGCACTACCGATATCAGTGTTTGTTTCGGTTGTTTTTGGATGAGTCAGCCAAGATAACCTTACTTGGGCTTACTCATGGACGTTTAGCCGACTGCAGTTACACATTTCAAGAATAAGGCGTGACGCATCACCGATACACTACTAATTACGATTGTTTAGATAAATACAGTGATAAAAAGCAAACTATTCCTTATTCCCTACATTAAAATAACGTTAGGAATGAACTTAAACATACGTCTGAGCCGTCAGCTCGTCAGCTTGCGGATGATTGATGGACGGACGACTGCATCTCACGGGTCACTCGAACGATAACACGCCACAAAAAATAAACCAACGGAATATCTTTTGTGTTGTTTATTAACGTCCCAGTATCAATAATAATATAATACGAATGTGAAACGTGATTTGGTCTCACTTTTTAGGCTCTTAGAAAGAGGGGCGATGAATTGATACCAATTTAACAAATAATTAGACAAGAATGAAGAAATAATAATTGAATTTGGATTGTGAATAAAATTTTAAAATGGTATTTTAATACGGCTCAAGTATATGAATGAAACATGAAATGCAAACTCGGAATATTAGACGTATGTATTATACAATATTCAGGTTATTTTAACTCAAAATGCAAGTACCAGAAAGGAGCAGTATTGCAATCGAGTCCACCCACTCGCTGCAGTCAGGTAGATACACCAGCGAGTTATACGAATCGAGTTAACTCAAGAACATAACTTTCTAGTGACTCATAGGAAGAGAGCTATCTCGCGCAGACGCTCTCAATAAGGAAGAGGGTAATAAACAAATTCATCTCTCCCATCTTATGTGGCTTCGGAGCCCATTAAAATGCACAATACTGCACTTTATACCATAGAGCCCGGTCTCTGTGCCCGAGGGGCACTCGCTATTTTTAGGTTTTAAATTGATACGCCAACAAAGTAAAGGATGTAAGCAATTAACACTCACTTTTACTACATAAAGAATGCCAGTAGCATCAGGAGAAAGCATAATACGAGTGCGCGATATCGAGTGAAGAGGTCCTTTGAATAATATAATCTAAATATTCATTACAACACAGTCCAGACGCCCGGCGCATACGGAAAAAAATCAAAATAAAACTATCACATTTCCCATCGTACGCTCATCTCCACATATAATTAAGCACTCTCTGAATAAAAAAGAAAGCCACTTATAAGAGGCGTGAGTACGTCGATTGTTCTCGGAATACGTCTCTTGCCGACACTGACTTGACCTAATTGAAAATAATTGTGCGTTATTCATTGGTCCGATCCTGAAGGCTTACAAAAACAAATCGGCCGAAGCAGAGCACGAAAGCACATCTGGGCCGGTACCGGAGCCCGAGCGCAGGCCTCATAATAGGATAGATTTCGGTCTGTAACTGTTACATATTATCATTAATTTAATAGCGCTATTAACAACAATCTCTTGTGCGCTATAAACCGATGAGAAGGGTGATCATTTGATAAATATTTGTTGCTTGTTGAACTAAAAGTTTTGTTTATAATTTAAACAAACTTATTCTTCTCTGGAATTAGGTTTTTTAACGTAATTGTCCCACTTAGTCCTACATAATACGTAAATATGGTCACCACAGTAACTTACCAACGTCTACGACATGAACAAATTATTTCAAACATTCAGAGAGCTTACATAACGAGTATTTAATTGTAGGTCAACACACTCCGGCCTATCAACTAGTTATGTATCTGGATCGTTACAACTTTTAAACGCGCTTCGCCTTGAACTTGAAATAGTAACAAGTCCCCGACTAGCTAGACGTACTCGCGGTATGTGGTATTATAAAAACTGCAGTTGAACGTTTAAATTAGGTATGATTTCAAATATGGAATAAACTGCTAAGATCATGGCCGAGGTTAATCCGCAGGCTACCACGGGTCGGGCTGGAGCTAGCGGCGGTGTGGGCGGAACTCACACGTTTTTGCGGTGCAAGACTAGAGAACTTGTATCTGGTACCGGTCGAGACCAGTCAGTTCATATTTTCGCGGCAGCTGGCGTCGAGTATGTCGCGGTCATTTACATAGTAAGCGATAAGCGCGCTATATTTAGCGCGTGGGGATGTGCCTGCGCACCTCTCGTTGCACCTACGCTCCGCCACCCTAGCCTCCCGAATGCATTCGAGGAATCTTCCATTTTTCATTGGAAATAAGCATCAAGTATGAGATCTTATTGAGAGTCCATTGTTTCGAATTATGAAATCAATTTCTAAGCTCGTACCTTTTTACGATTGCTTGATGATTTCAAGCAAGATCATCGAAAGAACCGCAACTAATTTGACATTGAACCAACAAAGACTGCAAGTCGCAACCAACCGCGTCGATTCGCAACCCTAATTACTGCTAACCGTAAGGATAACGAAGCAGATCTTTCACAGTTAAGACGTCGTTTTGTTAAGCCTCCGACCAACAGCAGTTAACGTTATTAACGAGAAAAGTGGCGGANGCGGATAATAACTCATGTGTCGTCGCAAGTAGCGTGTTGACTCGACTTGTCCGCTCGACTGCATTATCTGAAGCACTGGAGCGATAAAAACGAACAAAGAACAATGTCAGTCGGCGCTTAACTCCCTTTCGCACGAAGTCGCCGGGCTCCGGTTTCATATGACAAAATAACATCAATTTGTTTTAGCCGTCAATGCGGCAGCTACTGCGCGCTTGCGTGCAGCGTGCGTGAGCGCAGCTACTCGAGCATCCATCGAAAACGCATTTCCATATTCTATTGAATCCGTAATGATCTAGCGAAATCGATCGAGAAGAGAATGTAAACATACCTATGTATAAGCGAAAAGAGAGCTAAGACACGACACAGAGTGGCATCGTCGTTTTGGCGGTCGCCGAAGTGTAAATCCGCTCAGGGCGTGTCGCACGGCTGCCGAGTGCCGGTGGGTGCCAGTGTGCGTGCAGAATTTTCAATCGGCCGAGTGCATTAGCCGTGCATCTCGGAGGCGGCAAATGTTAATGAGCCTGCGACTCTCGCCGAGAGAAACGGGACTCGTCCTCGCCGGACACTAGGTGACTGGGTACACCCTACATCATGCAACTCGCCGCCCGTAAATTTCGCACTACTCTCACTGCTGCTGCGTCGGTGAAATTTATGCAACTTCAGTTAAAAAACCTAATTACCAACTGTAAGTTGTTAGATGATTCCAATTGAATCGGAATATCATGCAACTAGACGCAGAAATTTGAATTATTTATTTTTATATTTCATTCAGGACACCCTCAGGATTATTCAAATATGCCCAACCGTCAGACCTTTTTGCCGTATTCATACACGTTCAAGAAAATCGTTGAATAATTCGAAAAAAGTAAAAAAAAACTGAGGGTAAAAAATAAAATCAATAAAAGGACTCACCAAGCTTTGACTCGGATGAGGACCTCGCCTTCCCCAACGGTGGGCTCCGGTTTCTTCAGGATCTTCACGGTCTTGAGTCCGCCGAAGCCGGTGAGGACGACGGCGCGCATCTCCTTGGGCGGCGGAGTCTCCTTCTCCTCGGTGGCCTTCTCGGGGGTCTCCTCGGGCGGGGTCTCGGTGGTGCCGTTCTCGGTCGGGGTCTTCTCGGGCGCGGCGGCCGCGGGGGTGTCCGTGCTCTCCGTCATGGCTGGGCTGGTGCGGTCGGGGCGGCTGGCGCGAGGCGAGTGAGGCCGGCGGCAGCGGGCGCGTCGCGGGACGAATGAGCCGGCCGGGCGCGCGCCAGCCAGGGTGGGGACCCCGCGCCAGTGTTACCAACTTAGAGGTTTTCCCCCCAGATTTAGGGAGTAAATAAGTGAGATGGGATTTTTAGGGGTCTAACATTTTTAGGGGTAATTGTAGAGTTTTTTTTACTTTTAAATACTTATTATAATATTATTATTGATACTTTTTTTATTATATAAATATACAAATAAATGGTAGCCAAAAGAGACATTAATATTTATTTCTTGGCTTGAAATATTTCATGTATTAAATAATTTATTGGTTACAAATCTCATAATCACGCCTTTGAATGTCCGTTTTTTAAAGTTACGCTACCCCTGAAAGCGTAACTTTATAAAGCGTCTACGGTAAATATTTTTTAGGGGGAAAACTCAATAGCTAAGGCTATTTTAGGGGTTCTTGATACAACTTTAGGGATAAATATTTTTGAGAGTTGGTAGCACTGCCCCGCGCTCCCTCGCCCGCGAACAGGTGGCCACCGCCGGCCGGTTTCTGCCCTCGCACCCCTCGCCCCGCCGAATATTACACTACAAGGGACCTGGATTAACTTTATTACTCAGATGTCGATATAAAAAGCTATATTCGCTCCGACTACTCCGGCTCGCGCGTTGTGTAGCCTCCAGTCGATACCTCCCGAAACTGTACTTACCCTGAACGTGACTTGGCGTGAGATCGATAGGACGCCCGGTCTAGCATGCGTAGATACACGCGCTGCACGTCATATTGAAGTCTAGTTTATAGCTGTATGCGTTCCGCCGTTTCTAGATTTTGCACTTTCAAATCTACCCCATGCAAATTAAAGTTAATAATTTCAATATACCGGCATCATATCTGTTTAATTATAGCACTGACCTTTTTGATCGGAAAGTTAATGTAGTAAATATAAATCTTTCGTTGCACCGAGCGCACTGTTGAAGTGATAACAGTGTTTATAGGATAAAAATGAGGTTGTTAACTATCAACATGACCTTCGGGAGTTGCAACAACAAAACATAATAAATAATAATAAATTAGTACGACATGTGCGACAGCGGAACAGCGAAAACTGCGTCGAAAGTTCGAGTTCAATCGCGTCGCACTTCATTGTATGTAACATGTTCGGCTGAAAATAAAAAGCTCAAGTTAACATCATACATAATTTAATTCAACAACTAAACAGGACTAGATCAAAAGTAGTTTCAAACAGTTTTCTGGTCATCTTTGTGGTCTTGATTTAAGTTTGTTTCCTCATAATAGTAGTAGTCGTCGTCATCGTAGTAGTAATCATCATCTTCTTCGGAGTCGTACGTTGGATCGTCATCATCAGTGACAGTGGGCTGAAGGAGCCAATCCTCGCGGCCACTCCGCAGCTCTTTACGCAGTTTATTTTGAAGAATCTACAAAAAAAAACTTATATTACTGCTCGCATTGTACAAACAAATGGGTGCAGATAACCATCTTCACCCACAATTCACATAGCATTCCCCGCATTATTGTCGGGTGACGATTATGTGAGGAATGCCTCTCTTTAGACGACCCTATCTCATGCCCAGGATCGTGATAAATATATGAATGAGACACCACGCCAGAATAAATTAATTTAACCAATTTCTTTGCCGCGTTATACCTAATTATTTGATGTAACTAGATAAGTATAAGTGTTTTCTACTATGTCCTATCTTTTAAACATAATATTTAGTAGTGATCCATCATAGCAAGAGATCTAATCATCTAAGCACTGTTTAAAAAGGTGAAACTATTTCTAAAACTAACTTAGCCATCATAAAATTATTTTTAGTTTTATGCCCAGACTTGAAAAACTTACATTAAAACATTTCAATTTAAATATTTCTCTCACTGTCAAACTAACTTAGATCAATCTAATATATTCTAGAAAGTTGGAATGAATTGCTTGATCCATTTTATTAGTTTTAATAAATTCATTTACATTGAGTATCATTATTTAAATTACTGTCGATAAAGTAGATTCGCATGTTATTAAGAAAATTTTATTATATATGAAATGTGATATCGAGACTCAGACAATCGATNCAATCGATGGAATATTAACACGTTCGTGAACTCGATATTAACTCGACGATTTGGGGGCAGGCTTTTAAAATAAGAATAGTAATTGAAACAAAAGAAAGTAAGCAATCAAAACCGCTGCTAATAATTTGATTACAGAATCGTGATGAGATATCAAACTCTGATTTATTATAATTTCTAATACTAAGTTGACTGTGTCTTCCATATTTACCTACTTTTTTTTACTGTTATACTTTTTGTGTTTCAATCCGCGAGAGCCATAGAAGAAAGAAAAAAAAACTTTTTGTGACGTATTGTCACCATTGTAATGACGTCAGTACAGAAGAATTACAGCACAATTTTGCCTTATTTGTCATCATAAACCTACTAACCGTTTATCATCAGTTACCTAGATTATTTCATGTATGTACAAGAAATATTGAGTAGAGCCGACATGATTGCCGATAGCATAAAAATCAGGACTTAATTAAAGTAAATGATAACAGCCGAGCAATACGCTTAGATGTAAAAGTTATTGTCGCCATAAAAGCTGAGATATTACTACAATCCCCTCGTGTGGAGTACAGTCGAGCTCTAAATTGGCTATAATTAAACTATAGAACAATATCGGCAGGATAATTATAAAATTATGTACCGAATATTGTATATAATATTATTATGTTCCGCAATGATTTCAACAATTACAAACATTGTAATAATCAACCGTATTGTTTGTTAATATACTTACCAGTAAGATAATGTAAAATTAATTAAAACAAGAGAGAAACAAGAGAAGCGTTAACGAGTTACTACTCGTAACATATTTGTAGACACTACTCTAGCTAGATGAACAAACCATATGAATAGTAGGTATGCACTATGTTAATGAGGCTCAATGATTTCCGAATAGGACAAAAATAGGTAAAAAAAACTCACAATTATTATTCAATTCAATTAAAAAGAATTACCAATTTTTTGTCACTTGGTGTAGGGTCAAAGCAGCCAATGTTGAATGTGCATTCAGGAACTATCTCCGAAATTGTTGTTACAATCCGAACAATGTATTAAAACATAACAATACATCATTTGAAAAAAATAAGGGACAATGCGCCCGTTTATTCGGGCGAGTGTACATGCGGGCATTTGATTAAATCATGTTCACATATAACTTGTGCATTATCAGCGGTGCATTAGTGAATCAATGAGACCATTTCGCCGTACAAATTGTTACATATCTTGATCGATATGTAATAACGAACGTTGATAAACAATTACCCTGGATTGTTTTTCCATTGAATATGGTAGGGTATTGCAATTTGATATTAAGTGTTGACGTAACTTTTTAGTCGGCGATGTGCACTATTTGCGATTAAAAAATAATAGAAGGTTTTGAGTATGATTATCAGGCCACAGAAAAATATTAGTGCGACCACATGCTATGAAAAGTTAGTTGACCAAGAATAAAAAGGGATGAGTTCTACTAGATTAATATTTAAATGCTATGCTACTACCATGATAGGGAATAATGTTATTATATCCTATATCACAAAATTAGGTTTCCTTGATTTATCTATTTTGAATTTTGGCGTTTAAAGTTAAAAAATAATTGAGGAAATCCATCACTCTGTATTAACGACTGAATAATAAATAAACACTAAAATTATAAAGAGGATAGATTTGATTGTTTGTATTGAATAGGCTCCCGAAACTATTGAACGATTAGAAAAAAAAAATTCCATTAGAATCCCACAATATTTCTGTTGAACATAGGCGGTACGAAGTTCGCCGGGTCAGCTAGTAATAATAATAAGCGACATTAGCCCAATGTCGTCGGTTTCGTACTGGCCGAATCGAGATCCGAGGAATGCGGGTTCCGAACCCCGTCTCTGGACTATTGTGGTGGACCCAATCATAAGACAGACAAGCATTATTTAGCTTACCACCAGGGCTTAGCGGGTTAATTAAAAAAATCTTTAAAAAACAATGATATTCACCTGTCTTTTCAATAAGAAATCAGCTAGCTCCTGTTGCTGGTTACCCAAATCTGTGACGTCAGGTTTTGTGTCCGAAGTTCGATAAGATATGACTGGGTTGTTCACGTCGATATTGACCCACGCATCCCGACTCTTCTTCCTCGCAGCTAGGAGCCGATTCATGATCCTCGCGTGGTCCAGACCAAACACATTGTGCGTCATTTCAGGGATCGGATCATCGATGAAGGACATCTCTTCCTCAACCTGCTTTATTTTAGCCTAAAAACAACGTTGCGTATTTACAAAATGCGGACGTATTTACTAAATTATTCATAACTCCTCTCGTTACATATTCCCACTGACGTATTGCTTGAATCGAATTAGTATCCAGTAATAGAATTGGACTTTACCGTCGGTACATAGGTACATGGAAGTTTCAAACTTGGAATAGTTTGCGCCAAAGGTAAGGTAACTTAGTTACCGTACTAACTCATTTTTATACTATGTTACTACTAAATAGTTAAGTAATTACTAAATTAAACAATCTATAATATGCAAAATAATAATTATTCAATTCTGGCTCCAATTTTAGGTCAGTGTTTTCTTAAGCAAAAAGTTTTGGAATCCCCCCAGAGACCTAATAGCTTAAGAGACAATTTATAAGTCGTATAGCTGAGAGTCAAATAAGTTGTCTGCAATGGCAGATTGTTAAAATAAGATGTAAGTTACTCTGCTCTGTGCCAACGGCTCTTTATGGCGGAAACTTGTCATTCGCTAAAACAAATTAGCCACATGATTGCCAAAAACAATGGACCAGTACCACACGACACATTTTACTATGTATGCTAATTCAAAATGTCCATAGTATTTTTAGCGACGGACTTAGTTCAGTACACCTAGGTAGGTACATACTTGACTTATTTATGTGTTTGACATCAAAATTCAAGTCAAAATTATTGTGCCCATTTAGTTGATACATATTTTCTTATTAGCATAGATACTACAAATATGAACGTCTCCTGCTTGGCCAAGATTCGCGTCGTGATATAATTTTATCGATGATTTTAGACGACAAATGTATAGACTTATCGCGTAAAATCGATAAAATGAAGCATAGTTTCATTAAATGAAATGAAAAAAAAAATTACTTGACAGTTTACACTTACTTTCATTTCGGGCGATAGATTTTTGTTCAATGTGAAGTTGGTCTTGAGCAAATGCCCCATTTCAGTCGCTTCATAGTCCTCGCCATAGTCGGCTATTGCAAGGCGGCGGTCCAAATCTGCCACCAGCGCCTCTTGCTTATCTAAAAAAACCAAACGAATTAAGAACCTCCTCTTTGAAGTCAGTTAAAAATAGAAACGTTGATATAAAAGTATTATTGACGGCAACCGTCCTAGGTGATCGCTATAGAATTATAATCGTTATAGCTAATGCCCGCGAATTCGTCGGTGTAAGTAGCTAATTTTCAATTTTGATTTTATAATATTGTGAAGATTAGTGAAGCACCGTCCCCAGTAGGTCTCGCGTAAAGGACTAATAAAAATGTTCCTTCTTCCTGCTAAAATAATATTTTCTATGAACTGCGAGCCATAAACGACCGGGGCGCATAACGGTCGCAGTTTATATCAAACCCAGTCATGAAAATAGGGATTTTTCATCATGTCTGCATACTATTGCCATTGACCGCTAGACTTCTCTCGGATCAGTAATCTCAATATAGGCTCCCAAATTATGGAAATGGATGGTGTTTTTATATTATAGCCTAATGGTGGCGTCGCATTGCCGATGCAAAGGTAGTTCGATCCTGTCGACTGCTGGACTACTTATTGTGGTGGAACTCACACCTAACACTTGTGTTATATGTGTGTAATGTCGGCCGTTTGGTGTAGTGGTTCGAAACGGACTACTATTCCGGAGGTAGCGGGTTCGATTCCCGCACAGTACAAACATTTGTGTGCATGAACATATTTGTTTGTATTGGACTGGGTGTTTTCTATGTATAATAAGTATGTACCTATTTACAAAAAAAAGTATTTAAGTATGTTTATATCCGTTGTCTAGTACCTATAGTACCAGTGGCGGATTTACCAATAGGCCAAGTAGGCCAGTGCCTAGGGCGGCAGATTTAGAGGGGCGGCAAATTTAGCAAATTTTTTTTTACCGGAAAAAAAAATTATACGTATACAATACACAATCTATATATAAATAAACGATTAATAAACGCACTGTAACATATACACTCAGCGGCACGGAATTTGGCCCAAGCCTAAACACCCAGATATGAGGCCAAATAGGTGTTGTATGCCTTAGTTTCGTGTGACATGTTAACAGAACATTTGTTTTTGTTAATTTAAGAGGCTAGATTAATAAAAAAATGCGTCTGTTTAACTTTTTTGACTCTAGAAACGCATTTCGTTGTTGGAGCGTAAAGAGTACGGGTAAGATTAAATTCGATATTAAATGTTGTAAGGGTTTGGCGTTTTGTTTTTTGTTTTTAAATTAATCTTATCGTTATTATCGTTTTCATAATTTGATAATTATGCCCACTACTCCAGCTCAAGTTGCTCAAATAGTGTTGCTTAGAAGTCAAGGGCGTATGCAGCGGGAGATGGCTGAAACTTTCAATTTATGGCGTACAAACTTAAGATACACGTTAAAAAGGCATGACCAGACCGCCTTTTAAACAAGAAGACCAAAAAGTGAGGAATTAATGTGTAAATCAGCGCATGATGACCCGATTATCGTGCTTGCAATATCAAGAAATCGGGTTTTCACTACGTTTGAGATACGCCAACGTTTACAAACAGCAAGCCCAGTGAATGTCAGTAAGCACACAATAAGAAGAAGGATGGAGGATCATAACCTGCATACTCGAAGACCAGCTCGAGGACCAGAACTTCTCAGATACCTTCGCGAAGTGCGACGTAAGTTTTCTAGAGGACATGCAAATTGGACGCAAGGCTAATGGAGTAAAGTTCTATGGATCGATGATTGCAGAGTCACCTTAAGAGCTCCAGACGGCCGTGGAAGTGTATAGAGAAGGTGCGGAGAAGAGTTACTACGCAAACAGACAGTTTTCATAAAGAGTTTACTCCATTAGTCTAACGTCCAATTTGCATGTTCTCTAGAAAACGTAAGTCGCACTTNACAGATAAATCTTGCATGCTGCTTTTCATGTTACTACGTCACATTTTCAAAATCCGCGCGGATAATCGCTCCGAGCGGAAGAGTGCACTTTGAGCTTGAATATTTCAGTCATTTTTAAAGATATCAAAAAAATAAAAATACAGTATTCATTCTAATTTTTTGTAGTTTTTTTTGGCATCTTCAACAAAAATTGTGCGCCATGTCCATTCTGACGAACGCATTCCAAGATTTTGATGTATGTTGATCGAACATTGTAAGCGTCAAGGAAATCTCCTGGGCGATGAATTTAATAAAGGTAAATTTAAAAATAAATTACATTAAATTTTCTTTAAATTGCAATAGTTAAAGTTCTATAAAAATGTTCAGTTTTCGTTTCCTTGAATTTTTAAAAATGAATATTCTTCTGGGCCACCCTGTATTAACAAGCCTTGGTCTTTCTGTTTACCTTTATGTAGTTCTTAGCTAATTATACTGGATATAGCACTTCGCATGGCTCTGTGCACACCGGTGACAGATTGTTCAGGTGAGAGAAGCTTTTCTTGCTTAAAACGGGTTAAAAACTATCTACGATCTACTTTAGGTCAAGAAAAGCTTAATGCTTTATCTCTTTTGTGCATAGAGTCAGAACTTATGAAAAAGCTTTCTTACGACGATAATATCTCGCAAGAAAAAAATGTAAAACTTATTTGATCTCATTGTCTGTCACCATTAACTGGATTGTTAACATGTTATATTTTAATAGAAATTGTTTGTATTGTTTTTAAACTGTTAAGTGCAATAAAAAATATTTACCAAAAACAATGTTTACTGACCACACATTATTTTGTCTGTGTTCATATAGTGTAGGTATTTTAAGTCATGCCTTTCCCCACCTTATAATTAGTACATGCTGCTGTTTTTAGTTCAACATTAAACTCTTCAGTAGGTACATAGCGGGTTGCAATAATAATCTAGTAACTGACAGAAATATCATTAAGTTCACAATCATACTAATAACGGGATTAAACTAACGTACCTATTGAATTTCAAAAGTCAGTAGGGGCGGCAAAAACTGAATGGCCTACTAGCGGCAAATTTGTAAATCCGCCACTGTATAGTACAAGCTTTGCTTAGTTTGGGACTAGAAGCGCAGTGTAAAATGTCTAAGGATATTTATTTATTTATTATTATATTATATGCTTTCATATACGTAGATGATATTTTTTAGCTTCGAAACAATTACAATATTCGTAAGTCGTAGTTTGAGGTCGTACCAAGTTTATTGGACGATATAAAAGAGTACGGCTAAGTGATTGATCCAGTCTCGTGGGTGCGTCCAGAATTGATAGGAAATCACAGACGAGTATGCGCGCGCACTTGTCAGGCTGTCGGCGGCCCTAATCCGACTCCGCTTAATTAGATGGGAGAGAAATGGCGACGACTATTTTGCAATATGCTGAAAACTAACGACAGATCTGTATTTAGGTAGTAGGTAGTAGAACGAATTGTACGTATCAACCTTAGGTATCAACTCGAAAAAAAATTGTCCTACTGAAAAATTGTAGAATAATATTTTTTCATACGAAAGGTTTGTAATGACTAATCTAAATTGAATCGAGAACTTGTACCGTGCTTGTACTGTCCCCCTTAGACAAAGTAAGATAATAAGTATGAGACAGTTTAAAATTACGAGATCTAAATTCAATACGTCACAAGTGCTTCTTTATTTGGGGAAGACAACAGAGCTTATGGCTGTTTAAGGCCACATAATGACAACTCATAATTACCAAAATTACACAATGAAGCCCTCAACTCTAACAGATAATATGAGTTATCTGCAAATATATGACATTACTTTCTTCTACAACCAAGAGGCAAATATGATCTACCAATTAAAGCATATTGCTACCTTTTATTGCAAAAAAACCTAAATTAAAACCCCATCCCATTTAAAACTCAATTCTTATTTTTCTCCTCTCTGATCAATTCTTAGCAATAATTTTACTTTTAGTTTATGCCAATAAAATTTAACTACATATTAACCCAGGTCCAGGTTGATCAGACTAATAATATAGCACTGTAGGTAGTTTTGATGGTCAGAAATAAAGTTGATTTGATTGCAAGACTTTGTATAGCAGACCATGTAGTGTGAATTATGCATAGAAACTAAATAGTAACTACTGCCCCATTCATTCTCTGTTGCAGTACTGCAGAGGTTTACATACTACTAGAGGCTGAACAACCAGCCATAGAAATGTACTAGCTTTAAGAAAATCAAAATCCACATTTATCTTTAAAATTATCTCTGGTAATAAACTACCAGACTTAAAAAAAGCATATTGCTCATCANATTGATAACATTGGTATCATTTAAGTGTGCATTTTGTTTACATCATTGTAAGTTATTTGTATTCTGTTACTTAATCTATATTTCTGTATAGTAAATAATACTAACCCTTAACAAAAGTAATGTGTGGTACCACTCCCATGACCCTCAAAGTCGACAACTCATGCCTCAGCGCTCCTGAAACTTTCTTGAGTGCCAACTCTGTTTCCTCATCAGTAGAGTTGCCTTTGCAGACCCAGAAAACATTGACAGTTTGAAAATCTGGTGTCACAGTCACCTAGAAAAGGAATAACAGATGTAAAATAAGTGTTGCATCGCATACTTTTATATACTCAATTTCTTGCCTTAAAATCAAGGATAGCAGCAAAGATATTTCAATATTTAATTTTTAGTCAACTTTTTAGACTTGAAATAATCTGCTAGTGACAAGACAAGGCCCAAGGTCCGCATCTCTGCGGCGAACACGAGGCGAAAACTAGGCGGAAACGTTGCGCATCCGCGACGTCTCCACCGCGTCGCCGCTACGCTTCGAAACCGCCTGTAATCCGTCAGTGTGGTAGCTCACTAACAGTGCAGCCATCAGCAGTGTGACTCGTTGGGACAAAATATTTTAAAGAGATGTCCCATGGAGTAACGGTGTGACTGGATGGGAATTATTTTCCCAACGAGTAACAGGGTGTGCCTTGGTTTATTTCCACAGAGATCTGCTAAAGTTTATGGATCTAATACTTTTAAATTAAACATTGATTTCTTTTTAAATTACACATTGATTTCTTATTAAATTGCAATTTATCACCTTTGAAATTTCTATCCCTCTTCCTACAATGTCCATAGCCACAGTTCCCGTAGACATTATATCGGTTATCTGCTTCATAAACATCTTGTTCAGCATGGCTACTCTGCGTACTGCTCGTTTTCCAGGCTCATTTGTAGTCTTTGTCAAGCTCTTTACAGAAGGTAGTGCATTTTCTTCAAATCGTATACCTGGATACCATTGCCTGAAAGAAAATTCAAATTAACTCAAAACTTAACCTCTCTAAATTTTGAAATGAAATTAATTTAATGAAAGTGGAACTTACTTTTTGGTTTTTGGACTTATCATTTTGGTTAGCTTCAGACCTTGCTTTTTTAGGCTAAAAACTGTGCTGGTAACATGGTAAAATCGCCGAAAAGTCGTCATTTGGAATAGTAAAACAACTTCCTTCAAGTTTGCGTACTGTATAAGATTACTTTACTTTTTAGCCGTAACTGTTTACAAATAAACAAATTAACTCTTTAGAGCCGTAAATATATTTTCAAATCAAAGTAATCGCAAGAAAGAAAAACAAAACAAACGTTTGCAAACTTTTTACCAAAGACAAATTGTTTTGATAGTTTTGACATGTGCCACAGATAGATAATGCTATAAAATAATGCAACGGCTATTTACACTGATACATAGATTTTGTCTATGACTGAAATGAAAAGAATGTTGCAAAGTTGTTTCCAGCCTTATTCCATAGACAATTACAAATGGCGTGGGTGGATTCCCGCTTCCCGCCAAGAAGCTGTCAATTGTCAAAAAATCGAGGCAAGTTGCTTGGAAGTAGGGGTTATTTATTTTCTTTATTTTATTGTATTAGTAAAAATCAGTGATAAAAATTTTGACGATGGCGAAACCTGAAGAGAATGAAGAATATTGGATTGAAAAGATGAATGTGTTGTGCTCAGATTTGAATGTAGACCCTGCTGCTGCGAAAAAGTCTAAGGAATCATTTTTAGAAATTAAACGAAATTATACTTTGGATGTAAGTATTATAAATTAATTGAGTTCTTAAATGGTCTTTCAAACCGTACTTGCCAAGCTTAAATCTCTACCCGAGTTCTAAGATCAATCGTGGTATTTATTTGAATGTTTAGGGTTATTGTAAACAACCAGTTGTAATGGTATTTTAGTCCTATTGCTTTGTATTTAGAGCAACTGAAATGATTACATTTGACACCCAGAACGTAAAAACACTCAAAAAGTTAATATTTAACTAAATATTTATTCTTTTTTGTACCACAGTGTCTGCAATGTCTTAAGATGAACATGATTTCAGGGTGATTCTTTACATTGGATGGCTTGTGCTATGTACGTAGCGTGTCGAACATCGATGACTCCAACAGTCCAGTCGGGATCAGCTGTAGAGAGCAATTGTGTGAGCCTCACAAGGCTACTAAGACTATGCAACATAAGGTGTGTATCATTTCTAGCTGTTATGTGTGTTTTAAAGGCAGATGAGTCATAGAAAACATATTACTGATTACCTAATAGGCTGCTTTTAGCTCAGATATTTAATAACAATAGTTTGTCTGTTTAATTTATTCATTACTCTTCAAATTAAATATGATTATGATTGATGATGATATTTTGATAAGCCTAATTCTTATCTCTAGTTTTGCCAGATACCATATATTTGAGATGTGGCGTTGGTTTCTAATATTAAACTCTTAAGACATGTATTTTTTATCCTGCACTAGGAATAACAACAATATGGGCTTGTTTTTTTTTACAGTTTGATCCAGTTTTTCACAAAAATCAAGAATTGGATGGAAATGGCATCAATGCCAAATGATTTCAAAGAAAGGATTTCACGGTTGGAACACAAATTTGCAGTTTCAACTGTCTTGTTTAGGAACTTCCAACCTATGTTTCAAGAAATATTCTCTGGTTTGACCAATGAGACAATCAAATCAATGAATATCAAAAGTAAAAAACACAAGTAAGTATATTTTGTAACCCTTGTGTGACTAAAAAAAAAATAATATTAAAAAAGCAACTAAGACTGGCCCGGTTTCCACCAAGGCAGAGCAGAGAAATGTTTTGAATAACCAATCAGATTTCATTCATTATTGAGAATGAGTGGAAACAGGGCCTTGGGTTTTCTAAAATCTGGAATTTATAACATTGTTATTGTTTTAGATGGCAACCATGTTCAGCAAACGCACTGTTTGAGTTCACATGGTGCCTGTACATATGTGTGAAGGGAGAGTTCCAGAACTCCACAGACCTCGTGGATATGTATCACATGCTGCTTTCATGCCTGGACTTTGTGTTCTCCAATGCATTCATGGCCAGGCGGATTGACTTGATCAACCCAAGTTTTAAAGGTAATTTTTATAAAAACTAAGGCTGAGCCCCAATAGAGACTTTTCCATGTTGGTAAATGCTACAGGCACCTATCAGTTTCAACTGTAACACCTATCTTGAATAAATTTTAAATTTAAATAAAATTGTTAATATTATTTTGTTAGGATTACCAAGTGACTGGCTTCAAGACGAGTTTGAAGTGCCTAAGAAGCCCCCTTGCATCATGTCAACGCTGACTGAAATCAAGTCTGCGTTACCAGTTGAAGCGGCCGCAATGAAGGAATATAAATGGAAACCGGTCATCAAAGCTTTTTTTAAAAAAGGGGTATGTAACAAAGTAAATTAGAAACTTGGAGATATATTTTTAGATTCAAGTATAGATAGTTTCATCCACGATGACAGGCCCCACCAATTTTTGGTAGAGGGAACCGATAACATTCAAACGTTGCGGAAGAATGGTGGGGCGCGTATTGGTGGATGAAACGATCTTATATGACTACTTTTTTACTAACTTCTGTTTTTTACAGATCCTCAAGGGTAATAGTGACCAGCTCCTTGGACTCTTAGATGTAGCATACTTTGATACCAATCTGAAATCTTTGAACAATCTGTATGAAACTTATGTTCTGAGTGTTGGTGAATTCGATGAGAGAATATTTTTGGGTAAGCGATGAAACCTTTTTGTGACAAATATGGAAAAATAAAAAATAAATTTTGTTGTTTGTTTGACAAGTGGTGGTTTGACAACTAAATATTATTGAAACACTTGAAATTATTTATTTTCATTTTTTGAGTAGAAAAAAATGTCTCTCTTCTGTTTGAATCCTATTCTAACATGTTTAGTTGATTATGAAGGTTGGTTATTAATGAGATTGTCCTTATGTCTGTAAATTCTTTTGGATACATATAGAAATTAATTCTTATCTTCCAGGTGAACATGCAAATGAGCAGATTGGTACCAAGAGCAATCCTGCAGTATCCGGTGATGAGATATCGCAAGTTATTTCTACATTTGGACCTGTAAGTACTAAAATTATTTGATGTTGCAGTGCTCTTTCGACTCAGTATATCTCACTTTATTAGTCCAGAAAAACCAATCTTACTACATCTTTACGGTTATTTTTCCTTGTCATCATTATCATTCATCATTTAAGCCATAGGACATCCACTGCTGAACATAAGCCTCCCCCAATGTTTTCCATGTGGATCGATTGGTAGCGGCCTGCGTCCAGCGCTTCCCTGCTTGCTACGTTTATGATGTCGCCGGTCCACTTTATGAGTTATGGGTGGACGTCACACGCTGCGTTTTCCGGTACGCGGCCTCCATTCCAGAACCTGCTGCTCTATCGGCCCATTGCCACTTCAGCTTGCTAATCCGTCGGGCTATGTCAGCGACTTTAGTTCGTTTACGGATTTCCTCATTTCTGATTCGATCTCGTAAAGTAACACACGTTGTGAAAGAAAGAAACATTTATTACTATGAACATCACTTTCACATTAGGGCGTTAGTAGCGCGACTGCAGCGCGGCAACGGCGTTTTTATAATGTGAAGGCATGCATCCGCTGTCATATACTATGAAATTTTCGGCAGCGCTTCTGTCGCGCGTTTGTCGCGCTGCTAAATCGCGTAAATGTGAAAGCGGTCTTAGTGTGCAACTTAGGGCTTCTGTATTAGAGATGGGTTATACTAGGTAAATTTGATACTAGGTGCACCTATTCCTAGTATTTATTAATACTCGATCCAAATACCTATTCCACCTAGTACGTAGTAATTTAGCATACTTGACGCGACTAGTGCGGACTAATCCACGTAATAAGACTTTAAAATACATTTTTTTTAAAGATACAACCATAGTATTAATAATGCAATTTGAAATTGAATAATAATTCCTCCCTTCATACTTGAACAAGCATAGGACTGTCAACTTAAAAGTTGGCGTATTTAAAAGATATCAATTTCATAAAAATATTTACATATTTTTTCTTATTTACATGAATATGGTTTGACTACGTTTGTGTGCGTTTGCTTCGTCGCGCTCAAATTTGTTTGGTCAGACAGAGACGGAGTGAATAGGTAGGGTAGGGTAGTAGGTAGGTAACTAGGTGCGCTTAATACACGACTACGCATTACGCAATAATAACCTCTATTACTTTGATGGTAGGGTCGGAAATCGTGTAATTTATAAAATACTAGGTGGATCAAGTATTTTAAAAATTGGAATAGGTGCCGCCTAGTACTGTAAAATACCTAGTGTGTGGATCTGTTCTAGTAAATACGACTCATCTCTATTCCGTATAAGGCCTATTTTTCCATGTGATTGAGTGTAATGTATCTTGTATTCCCTCAGAGCGGGCGCGCGTGCCCCGACACGCCGCTGACGGGCCGGGGGTACCTGGGCGCGGCGCGTGAGGCGCTGACGCCGGTGTCGGAGGCGCACAACAGCCTGGCGCGCCTGGCCGCCTACACGCGACACGCCAGGCCCCAGCCCTCGGCGCACCTGCTGCGACTGTTCGCGTGAGTACAGCTGGTGCAGGACCTGATCAGACGCCGGTGTCGGAGGCGCACAACAGCCTGGCGCGCCTGGCCGCCTACACGCGACACGCCAGGCCCCAGCCCTCGGCGCACCTGCTGCGACTGTTCGCGTGAGTACAGCTGGTGCAGGACCTGATCAGACGCCGGTGTCGGAGGCGCACAACAGCCTGGCGCGCCTGGCCGCCTACACGCGACACGCCAGGCCCCAGCCCTCGGCGCACCTGCTGCGACTGTTCGCGTGAGTACAGCTGGTGCAGGACCTGATCAGACGCCGGTGTCGGAGGCGCACAACAGCCTGGCGCGCCTGGCCGCCTACACGCGACACGCCAGGCCCCAGCCCTCGGCGCACCTGCTGCGACTGTTCGCGTGAGTACAGCTGGTGCAGGACCTGATCAGACGCCGGTGTCGGAGGCGCACAACAGCCTGGCGCGCCTGGCCGCCTACACGCGACACGCCAGGCCCCAGCCCTCGGCGCACCTGCTGCGACTGTTCGCGTGAGTACAGCTGGTGCAGGACCTGATCAGACGCCGGTGTCGGAGGCGCACAACAGCCTGGCGCGCCTGGCCGCCTACACGCGACACGCCAGGCCCCAGCCCTCGGCGCACCTGCTGCGACTGTTCGCGTGAGTACAGCTGGTGCAGGACCTGATCAGACGCCGGTGTCGGAGGCGCACAACAGCCTGGCGCGCCTGGCCGCCTACACGCGACACGCCAGGCCCCAGCCCTCGGCGCACCTGCTGCGACTGTTCGCGTGAGTACTATAATGTAAAACAAAATTCTTGTTATGTGTTACCATAGGGGTCACTTAAAAATTAGGGATTGATGGTGAAAACGGGCATAAGCTTCGCTTCTGAGGAAAGGGGCCACAACCAGCGTTCGGTAGCCAGCACTAAAATATGGTGGCTGCCACTTGTGTTCAATGGCCGCCACTAGCGTTCGATGGCCGCGACTAGCGTACGGTGGCCGCCACTAGCGTTCGGTGGCCGCCACTAGCGTTCGGTGGCCGCCACTAGCGTTTAGTGTCCACCACGAGCGTTCATTGACCGCCAATAACTGTCTGTGGCAGCTTTGATTTGAACTGGAGGCTTAACACTGATGAGACTGACGCACTAGGCACTTAAGACGTCACTACTTAGAACACTCAGAGATTGTGGAAGAGGCACTTAGTGTTTTTGTGTTAATTGCATTTATGTTTATATTCCAGTGAATGTGGAGTCAACGAAGAAACCATCAACAACAATATAATTCAGCCATGCAATGGTTGGATGGAACAGTTCGCGAATAGCCTGAGGGAGTCCAACTGCAGTGAGCAGACCATTCAGTTCCGCTGTAACATGGTCACGTGCTTGTACTACAAAGTTTTCGAACATATCATTAGGGAGGAACACAGGAAAAAGCCACAAGTGTCATTACAAGTAAGTGTTATTTTCAAAATTTTTAACTAAATATTACACAACAAAATTTAAAGCATGCTATAATTCAGAAATTGAATTTTTTGACTACCATTTTGATAGCCACTATTTCTTGTCATAATTTTTCTTTGTTGTACTTTTCTGCACAAAATTGAAATTGAAGATTTTCTCACCCATAGATAGGGTTGCCAACTATACTGTTTTTCACTAAATTATACTTTTTACTGTTGAACAAAAATAAAGTATACAAAATACTGTTTTCAGCTAGCATCACTAGTATCCATAGATATTTTTAAAAGTAAATGCCCAACACCACATTTAAGTACGCGATGTAGAGCTATACTGTTTGTTTTTTTTAATACTGTCTGTTTTCCTTCTCCGACCTCTGATATACTTTATATTTTAAAAGAAAAGTTGGCAACCCTACCCATAGATGGCTATGTATGTTTACAAAATACTTTTTTCTCTTCCAGATGCTACTAACGCAAGAGACGTACCAACTCACAGTGTACGCGTGTTGTACAGAAGTGGTTTTACACGCGTACGGCGTGCACTCGCTTCGCTTTCCTCGCGTGCTCCAAATATACGGCCTTAGCGCCTTCCACTTCTATAAGATCATTGAGCTCGTAGTCCAAGCCGTCGTAGAAAAACTCAGCAGAGACGTCATCAAGCATCTGAACACAGTGGAAGAGGAAGTTCTAGAGTCACTGGTCTGGACCTCAGACAGCCCCCTGTGGGACCAACTGGCTAAATACCCTGTGCCTGCATCGACAGACGTCTACGTTCAAGAATCGCCCTTAAGTCGCCGGAATAATAGTCAGTATTCAGTGACATTATAACCAATTTGTATTTAAAAAAATATATTCCACAGATTGATCGTTCCTCACGTTTACAGATTCTATCCTGTCACTCGAATCTGCAGCTATAGATAGGTTTTTGTCTCCGATGGCTGATCAGACGAAGAGACAGCTGTTCAAAGACAATATCAAACCTGGGCAATCACTTTTAGGTAATTTTTCACAATACATCATTTCATTTTTCATCATTATGTTCCACCAATATTTGTATTTTTAGTTAATTGATAAAAATAACATACTAAAATGAAGTTACATGTTTTCAGCTGTAAAATCAGAACCAAATTCATCAGAACCGTCCACAAGTGCTTCCAATGGCGATCCTTCGCTTACTCCTAAGAAATCGAACAATTCACTAAATCTGTTCTTCAGAAAGGTAAGAATTGTGATATAATTTAAAAAGATAAACCCTTTTTATTTTTTCCAGTTGCTGTAGTAATTTTAAATAACTAATNGCCTAAATAATAATAGAAACACAGAATGTACTTTTTTTTAAGTTGCCTCAAGACTGAGAGGTAAATAAGTAGTTAATATTATTCATGATAAATCATGTATTTCCTCCGCCCTTTTCCGCAGTTTGGCACCTCACGTCACATCATTTTACCGAAGTCAGCCCTATAGCTTCGGCGCTGTGCCGATCACTGACGTTTGTCAACAAAATGGTGCTTGACTCTTGATACAGGCTAAACCATATTATTAATGACATTGAGCATACATTTTTTTAAATACCTTCGCGAAGTAAAACTTCTGTGCGTAGTACTTATTATTATTCTGTGACGATACGCTTGCGGGGCGCGGGCGGCGCGGCGCTCAAGCGGCCTCGCCTCGGCGCCGCCGGCGTCGCGCGCAAGCTGCACGGACTGATGACCGACCGCCAGGCTGTCTAGCGGTACGCACCACCTTATGATTTCACACCTCACGCTTGCTTGTACAATAGAACACACAGTTTTTTTTAACTTTATGGCTTAACTTTTAACCTCTTCAGCGCCACGTCAAATACAAAAGCCATCACTCTGACGCCATGCTTGATAAATTATGATATCAATATAATCATTGTATTCATTATTATTCAGTTTTAATACTCAATTAGCCTGTTACTGACATCATTTTTAAGGCGGATTAATCCGTCGTTGGCGGACAACCTGATGTACGGATGTATCCGTCATTGGCGTTGAAAAGGTTAAACCCTAACTTTATGTCTACGACACATCTACATACATGCATTACGAGAAAAGGATTTTTTTATGGCTATGCTATGCCTTTGGCAATATCAAGTTAAAAACGGGGAAACGGTAATTTAAGGAAAATTGTTATTAAATCTTCCTATTGGCCACCACTGGTGGACATTGAGAAGAAATTAGTTGCAACTCAATACTGATATTGGTTAATTTTTGTTTTAGGCACATCAAATCATTTACCACATGCGAGAAGCGAAGAAGTTCAATGAAGTTTTACAGAAGTCTTTTTAGTTTTTACCAAAAAAAAANTAAATAACTAATAGAACATCTATGTCAAAGAATCTGGGAATAATTTCATAACTCTAGCATACACAGCACTCGAGCATAGATTATGTCCTATGATTGGTCTAAATATTGAAATACAACTGATATAAAGCCTGAGATTAAATCGAGTTCTAAGCGATTATTCCCAGTTGCCCCAACAAGTGTCGCTGCTGTGTTTTATAGTCGTTTTGTAATGACGTTTTTCATAAGTGGTGGAGACTGGGTAATTTTTGTAAATAATTCCCATTTGCCCCCAGTGGCGGCACTCCGGGGGGCAACTGGGAATAACAGGTTTTAAACATCAATTAATTCTTTTAGCATTAAATCCACCTTTTGTTCGCTATTTGTGCGATAAAGTGTTTAAATAAAATAAATAAATAGAAGTAAAAGACTTACCTAAATCCGCCATTTCAGTTCTACAGCCTGGCAGTGGTGCGTATGAATGATTTGTGCGCGAGACTACGGCTGGCCGGCGACGAGCTCAAGCGAAAAATCTGGACGTGCCTCGAGCACGCGCTCATGAAGCAGTCGCAACTCATGCGCGACCGCCATCTTGACCAGATCCTCATGTGCACCGTCTACGTCGTTTGCAAGGTAATAACAATAAATAACCGGTCTACTGCGCCATCTATAGTCTGGTCCGGGAGCACGTAGAATTTTGTCCAATGACCCCTAGCTTATCGCTCGTAATTATGTTGCACTGCGGGTGCCAGTCGCACAGTCGCGACAGCAATATAATTACGCGCGAGCGATAAGGATGGGTAGCTAGGGGTCATTGGACAAAATTCTACATGCTCACGGACCGGGCTTTAGTCCCGAACTAAACAAAGCTTCTACAGTCAGCGTCAAATAGTTTGTGACACCCAAAAGTAGCCAATAAGTTCGCAACACGTCTTTGTTACAATTGGATTAAGGTTGTTTATCAAGTTTTTGGCCACTTTGGGTGTCATGAACTATTTGCCACTGTGTGTACTCGACAAACTTAAAATTTTGAGCTCTGTCTAAATCAAAATGTTATTCTTTCCAGGTATCAAATAACGCAAACAATCCTGTGGAAAGAACATTTGCAGAAATCATGAGATGTTACAGACAGAGACCTTTAGCTGATAATCATGTTTATAGATCTGTGTTAATCACCCCTGCGACTGAAGACAGTAAGTGTGATAATTTCAAATCAATATGTTGTTAATTATGTTTGTTTAGTTACAACTACATATTGTATCCAATAATATTTATTTCAGGCCCTGCAGAAAGAAGTGATTTAATCAAGTTTTACAATAAAGTTTATGTGCAATGTATGCAAGACTTCGCTCTTCGATTTGCTGGAAGACAAAAAGAGGTAAGTCTCTTATTGCTTCAATTAGGAAGCCAAATGGGATAAGAATGTCATGAAAAGCAATTTTGGTTAAATTGTAGCAAACTAGGTCTACTCATGAAGCATAGTACAATCCCCAAATATGAGACAAATCCATGTATCATCATCTTCTTATTTTAAAAGAATGCCAACAATTTCAATTTCACCCTGTATATTGGGGCTATATTGCATCAAACAGTCTATACAGGGTGAAATTGATCCAACACAAAAGACTGTTTGATGATGCCACAGTATTGAACCTGATGTGCCAATGTCACAACTTACAACTTTCATCAATTTTGCATTCGGACTTCGGATTCGAGGCAACAAGAGAAGTTTATTTAAAATTGAAGTGGCGTTCGTGTTACTTTTAGTTAGGCGTGACTTTTAAGGTGATGCCTTGCGAATATTGGACGTTTTAAAGAAGCGCAGAATTAGTTTTAATCGTACTTTTCTTATTACTTATGTTCTTATTTTGAAATATGTCATAGTTGACTAATAAATCTAGTGTCTGGTCGAAGCCGAAACATGAATGGAAACAATTTTCTAGATAGAAAAAAAATCCAAAGATGACCCTTCTATTACTCGGTTTTTCGTTTTATAAGCAGATAGGTTAATATTTCAATACCAAATTTTGTATATTGGTAAGGTAATAACATATTCTAAGTACTGGTCGAGTTATTTTCTTTATATAGTGTTTGGTTTTTCAATAAATACATGATTTCCGATTTTTGTAGCTTACGTTATTTTATTCCGCGCCGCGCGCGCTATTGCTGTCCCTTTCCTCGCACTGAGAAATCATATTTCTATCCCTCTGTGTGCGAGGCATTCAGTCGGCCGAAAACTTTTACGAGGTAGCGCCTTAACCAACTAAATTTTGGTACCAGGAGTGCTGCCTTTCCCCGCTGCCGGCCGGGCGCGGCGACGCGGCGTACTCGCCGGCCGGCCAGCGCGTGTCCGAGCGGCACCAGGTGTACGTCAAGCCGCTCACGTCGCCGCTGCCCGCCCACCACCACCTCACCTACCGCTTCAGCCGCAGCCCCGCCAAGGTAAGGCCGAGATCATAGCGATCTATAGTCTGGTCCGTGAGCACGTAGAATTTTGTCCAATGACCCCAAGCTACCCATCCTTATCGCTCGCGCGTAAGTCTAGGGTAAGTCCTTTACGCGGTATAACCGGAAAACCAAAAAGCGCCCCTTTCGGGGGCCCCCACCACTTAAGTACAACTCCGTCGAAGTCGAAAACCTAGGAGAGTCTTAATGGGCAACTAATGAAGCCATTAAAGCAATAAAATCTTTTGTAGGAATTATTTATTTGACCACTGACATTTTTTTTCTCTTGTTCAGTGTTTCTTTAAATTATTTAATGTTCAATACTCAATATTTTATTGCATCCATTATGTTCTTAAAATTAGAACATTATGGACCATTTAATTTATAAACTGCATGTACCTATTTTATATGTGACCTAAGTGTACCTATGAATGTTTATTCTATTTTTAAGCTTGTAAGCGCTTTGGACCTGCTCTGTAAGCTTACAAGTGTTTTGCATTAATAAATAAATAAATAAATAAATTTCCGATTTAAAATCTAATTTTACTGGCCTACTTTTTATGCATAAAACAAGATCCTGGCTACATAGGAGTTGCAGTGGAAAGTGTAGTGGGATAAGTCACTTAAAAGTAACTGACCGTACCGACTACCGATCGCTTCAACCGCAGCCCGGCCAAGGTACGGCATTGATTACCGGTTGTTCCCATTAGCCCCCTTGGCGTCGCTGGACTATTGTGGTGATCCCACTCGTAACACAATAGCTTACCACGAGGTATTAACGGGCTTAATATTCTTAAAATAATACCGGTTGTTCCCATTTGTCCCCACCTGGGGGCTCCTGGGAATGTATTTTCAAAAATGTCTCTGACTCTCTCGTTTGTACGATAGGTATTGTAAACCAAATATAAATTTTAATATCATAAAAGATGAGGGGAAATTGAAAGGGTGCGATTCCTATCGTGCTAATCTTATCTAAATAACGCGCGAGCGATAAGGATGGGTAGCTTGGGGTCATTGGACAAGATTCTACGTGCTCAGCGACTAGACTATAGTTGCTAATGTTTTTGCGAAGTTTTTATAAATTTTTTTTGAAATCAAATTATTTTACTCACAGGACCTGCACGCCATCAACACGATGGTATCTTGCGAGGTGGGCGGGCTGAAGCGCGGCGGCGGCGCGGGCGGCGCGGCGCTCAAGCGGCCCCGCCTCGGCGCCGCCGGCGTCGCGCGCAAGCTACACGGACTCATGACCGACCGCCAGGCTGTCTAGCGGTAAGCCTCACGATACCAGGCCTGTTCATCTCCGCGAGTTTACATCGAAAACATAACACGCACGATGGCCCACCTACAGGATACTATGCGACAAGGCCTCACATACGAGCGAACATTGACTCACGCACGCGTATTCTTGTGTATGATAGAAGAAAATAAAGAAAATGGTGTACTAATAAATACTGTGCAGTATTTAACTGCCTAAATAATAATAGAAGCACAGAATGTACTTTTTTTTAAGTTGCCTCAAGACTCTGAGAGGTAAATAAGTAGTTAATATTATTCATGATAAATCATGTATTTCCTCCTTTTCCGCAGTTTGACACCTCACGTCACATCATTTTACCGAAGTCAGCCCTATAGCTTCGGCGCTGTGCCGATCACTGACGTTTGTCAACAAAATGGTGCTTGACTCTTGATTCAGGCTAAATTACTCCATATTATTAATGACATTGAGCATACATTTTTTTAAATACCTTCGCGAAGTAAAACTTCTGTACGTAGTACTTATTATTATTCTGTGACGATACGTTTGCGGGGGGCGGGCGGCGCGGCGCTCAAGCGGCCTCGCCTCGGCGCCGCCGGCGTCGCGCGCAAGCTACACGGACTGATGACCGACCGCCAGGCTGTCTAGCGGTACGCACCACCTTATGATTCAGGCTTGATTTCCTCCTACGCTGACGTCGATCGCGTACATCGGTCGAGCGTACGAATAAACACAATGTTCTATGAAGCACCGCACTGCAACGCTGTCGTCAGCGGCAAATAATTTAATACTGACGACAGCGTTGCAGTGCGGTGCTTCATAGAACATTGTGTTTATTCGTGCGCTCGACCGATGTACGCGACCGACGTCAGCGTAGGAGGAAATCAAGCCTAACGTAAACTCATGGTAAGCACACTGATCGAGTTAACTACACATCTGGCAGCCGTGACGTCACATCGACGCTCTGGCACAGAAAAGGTGAACGCGGGGAGGTGCGCAGTTAGCACTTAGCACGATCGGGTTGTATTTGTATGTCAATAAAACATCCGGAATAAACTTCCCACAATATTTTCAACTTTATAAAAGTTTTGCATACAGACATTAGAGATTTTTTTTTTATTAAAACTTCCCATTGGCCACCACTGGTGGACATTGGGAAGAAATGAGTTGCAACTCAATACTGATATTGGTTAATTTTTGTTTTAGGCACATCAAATCATTTACCACATGCGAGAAGCGAAGAAGTTCAATGAAGTTTTACAGAAGTCTTTTTAGTTTTTACCAAAAAAAATCGTTCTCCGCTCTCTAGCCATATCGTTTTATTGTTCAATAACGTTGACGAATTATAAAAAAATCAATTTTATCTAAACCGACAAAGAAAAAGTAATAGAACTATTAAAACTTGTCACAATGGGAGAAACTCCTTGGACTGGTTCCAAGTAAATCATGAATTGGTGCTACATTTAACATGAATAATTTTATCAGTAGACAATATCCACGCTGATGTCACTGCATTCATAGAGCACATCCATTTTGATCTCATTTATTTGTTGAGTGTGAATAGTATTGATAATGCATAATTCGGTGGATACTGATATTTGATATTTGCGTGAAATATCTGCCTTACGAACTTTGAAAGCCTTCTTGTAGTTTGGAGACGAGAGGTGATGCAATGTTAAATATTAGTAAGCCCCTGTATGTACTAAGTTGCTCATTGGTTTTATAATTAAGATTTAAATTTATTAAATACTTTAGTTTCATGATTTTATATTGAAGCCATAGTTATGTTATCAATTAGCTGTATAACTGACTAAGATAAAAATATTATATTCCAAATTTATTATTGTATGTACATTATTGAGTACCAATACTTACAGTATAAGACAGACTTGACTGAGATTTGCCATAAAATATTTTTTAACTCAAATAAAACACAATATTGCATGTTTGACCATATTTAAGTTCCTTACAGTGTATATGACTCTTTATCTTTATCCTCCTTCGTTTGTGTTATCTTATTATTTTATTTACTATTAGTTTGTAAGTAATCGGAGAAAAGGATAAAATCAATTTGTTTTAACTTCCAATCAAAATTATATGACTGTATATTTCGTACATAACTAATGTATCATGTATTTTAATCTTAGAATAAACAAAAATTCCAATTTTCTTGTTTTTATTTCAATATTAGATTAGATGAATCATTCCCTGTGGTTAAAAGGAGCCCTATAATTTCATATTAGGAGGTGCATTATGCATACTAAATTTAATAATACCATGGACACAAACATATTACAGTCCGATGCATATACGCTATCTCGGAACAAAGCATGAGTCAATGCTCAGTACCTTCACAATATTAGATACTAGCTTTTGCCCGCGGCTTCACACGCGTGAAATTACGTTTGTCACAGATCGTCATAAATTATAGCCTATATTTTTATTCTGGGTTATAAACAATAATACTGTAAAGTTTCATCAAAATCCGTTCAGTAGTTTTTGCGTGAAAGAAGAGTAACATCCAAATTTTCGCAGTTATTAGTAGGATTATCATATCAGTAAGGCGAAGGAAAATCTGCGGACTCAGCACTCGCAGCAGTGCATAAGAGCTGAGGCGTGGGAGCGGCACGAGAGGGGTGACATTGACATAATAATATGACGTGATAGAACTTAATCTGAAGCAAACCTAACGTCTCGCTGATGTTTGTTAGAAAATCCCCTTCTTCAGAAACCTCGTTCTCACATTGACATAGGTACTTGCCTAGCTTTATAAATTTTTATAATGAAACTGATAACGGAAGCAAAGATGCATTTATGTAGGTTATCTCATTAAAATGAAAAACTATGCTTGATTATAATATCAATTCTTTATTCTTAAAAAGGTGTCGAGAACCATAGTGATCCAAATCATATTTTCATCTTTGAATACTGATTATGAATTATGCTCAAAACATGCCCAACTAGAGTTAGATCACTATGGTTAACTCTTCAGTTAGAACTAATTTTATGAATACATGGAACTACATTTATTACACTTAACTAACCTAGGAAACATATGCATTAGATAGTAGGTATAACATTAATAATTACCAGACCCGCTTTGAAAAATGTACATAATTGAATATTAGAATTATTATGTTACCTGTAAGGAATATAATAATATGTGGAAGTAATGTAACTATAAACAGCACAGATAAACACACAGGTAAAGATAGAGCAAATTGTAGCAACGCATGTTGAAAAATAACAGCAAGAAATTCCTGTGCCATTGTTTTTTAGAATGTTAAATACGTGATTTTCTTCATGCAAATGGTAGCTGATGATCAACTTTTAAAATGACAATTAGATCACTACGGTTTTAAGCCCTAGGATTCCTTCATGTTAGGCGTCTTGAGTCGGAGGTCAATAATTCATTTACAGTATCGCACATTGAAATACTTTTTACTTGCAGTTAGTGCGGTCTTGCAAACGCACAACTGACATGCTCAAAACGGTTAATTTAAAAGAACGTTAAAAAATTGAAGGTATAGTATACTATACAGGGTGGAAACGTTAAGTGATCTCACTCGATTATTTCTAAATTATTCAAGATATTGAAAAAGTCGTTACTGATCCTGAAAGTGCTTCATGAGCTTTTTCAAACGGTACCAATAATAGGTTACAGAATAAACTGGATCTATCTGAAAATTCAATGTTTCCAGCTTCCATACTAAATGTATGCCAGACACACAATATTAGAAGTGTATTTTTTTCATTGAATAATAAACTCTTAAAATAAACTCGTAAATTGTATTCTTATTTAAAATTATTCATGGAAAACATTGGTTTTAGGCTTTACTTGCTATAATATTGTCAAGAGATGAGTGTCATGACTGTGGTAGTACTAAATGTATGGAAGAAGGAAACATTGATTTTTTTGATAGATCTAGTTTATTCTGTAACCTAATATTGATACCATTGGATAGAGCTTGTGAAGCACTTTTAGAATCAGTAATCAGTTTTACGATATCATGTGTAGTTTTGAAAATAATGTGACTTTACCAAATGTATGGAAGCTGGAAACATTGAATTTTCGGATAGATCCAGTTTATTCTGTAACATATTATTAATACCGTTTGAAGAGCTCATGAAGCACTTTCAGGATCAGTAACTAGTTTTTTGATATCTTGTATAGTTTAGAAATAATCGAGTGAGATCACTTATCGTTTCCACCCTGTATAAGGACATAATGAATCTAGAGCATCTGTTGGTCGGCGGCGGGGCCGGGCGGCGGCGCGGGCGCGGCGCGGGGTCAGGTGGCGCGGCCCTTGCCCTCCTTGATGGCGATCACGTAGCGCTGCGCCACGCGCTCCGGCGGCGAGTACCCGTCCGCGTACGACGAGTCCTGACGACGAAAGAAAGATAGTTGGCTATTTATTTAAGGACAGCTAACAAGACTTATTAGACATGTTGACACCACAGTCAATTGACGTATGTACTTTTTAAAACTGTCAAAACGAAACTCTCCCATAGATTTTGTATGGCACTACAAGCAAGTGACGTCACTATTTTGTCAACCCAATTAAACTACTTTCAATTACAATTCGAACAAAAATCGAAATTTACAGGTAATTTAAAATAAATTAGGTTTTTAAGACCAGAATGAAGTCTTTTTAAAACAGTTGTGGTTTCGAATTATTGGGGTATAGTTCCAAAATACTGAACTGTCCTATCCATGACATTGACAGCGGGGCGCAACCATCAATACCGGATCGCTGGTTCCGATTTTTGCCATGTTATAAACCATATAGTTGAATGATGGTAGCGCCCCCCTGTCATTGAGTTTGATGGGACAGTTCAGCTTGGGTCATCTATATGGTGTCAAACTGTCTATTAACTGGAAAGAAACATTGAAAACAGTACATGCTTATAGTGTAGCCTTAATTAAAAGCTGCCACGACATGTGAGTAATTATATCCACATATCTACGAGGCCCACGCTATTTGTTCACGTTGATGCGAGTTGAGACAGTTGCGAGTCACAGCATCAATTTCATAGGATACTATACTAATGATCACTTGAATCGTAAAAAATCATATACACATAGGAATCCCTAATATTATTATTGTTTATAGCAAGCATTATCATGCATGTAAATTGCCATCTCTCAAATATGTTTTTGAATCAAATGGTTGGGGTGTTTGTACTGAATTGAAGCAATAAAAACTCATAAAAGACTCATATGGTCCCTCATACTCATTTATTTAGCAAGTAGGCTTTAAAAAAGCACTTTTACACATTCCAGTATTAACCCTACCACTGCACTGCTTCAGGACAATAAATGGGCCATTGCTGCAATCTTATAACGAAGACAGTATGGGCATAAGATTACGGATACTAACTTACCTCAAACAGCACTTCATAGGGGTCAGGTCAGCGGCATTAGCAGGCAGTCTGTTAACAACAGCTCTATAGAAGCAACGTAGTCTGTGGGTACAGCGCCATAACCACCGTTCCCTTGGGGAACAGCGCATGCTTCTTGGAGCGCTTTATAACGAAGCTAGTTTGGCTACAACTTACCTCAAACAAAACTTCATAGGGGTCAGCCGCATTAGCAGGCAGTCTGTTGACAACAGCTCTATAGAAGCACGTGGTCTGTGGGTACAGCGCCATAACCACCGTTCCCTTGGTGAACAGCGCATGCTTCTTGGAGCGCTTTATAACGAAGCTAGTTTGGCTGCAACTTACCTCAAACAACACTTCATAAGGGTCAGCGGCATTAGCAGGCAGTCTGTTGACAACAGCTCTATAGAAGCACGTGGTCTGTGGCTACAGCGCCATAACATCCCAACTAATATTATAAATGCGAAAGTAACTGTCTGTCTGTCTGTCTGTCTGTCTGTTACGCTTTCCCGCTTAAACCTCGCAACCGATTTTGATGAAATTTGGCATAGAGATAGTTTGAGTCCCGGGAAAGAACATAGGATAGTTTTTATCCCGGTTTTTGAAACAGGGACGCGCGCGATAAAGTTTTTCTGTGACAGACAAAATTCCACGCGGGCGAAGCCGCGGGCGGAAAGCTAGTAGAACATATATGTCAAAGAATCTGGGAATAATTTCATAACTCTAGCATACACAGCACTCGAGCATAGATTATGTCCTATGATTGGTCTAAATATTGAAATACAACTGATATAAAGCTTGAGATTAAATCGATTTCTAAGCGATTATTCCCAGTTGCCCCAACAAGTATCGCTGCTGTGTTTTATAGTCGTTTTGTAATGACGTTTTTCATAAGTGGTGGAGACTGGGTAATTTTTGTAAATAATTCCCATTTGCCCCCAGTGGCGGCACTCCGGGGGGCAACTGGGAATAACAGGTTTTAAACATCAATTCATTATTTTAGCATTAAATCCACCTTTTGTTCGCTATCTGTGCAATAAAGTGTTTAAATAAAATAAATAAATAGAAGCAAAACACTTAACTAATCCGCCCTTTCAGTTCTACAGCCTGTTGTTCGCTATTTGTGCGATAAAGTGTTTAAATAAAATAAATAAATAGAAGTAAAAGACTTACCTAATCCGCCATTTCAGTTCTACAGCCTGGCAGTGGTGCGTATGAATGACTTATGCGCGCGGCTACGGCTGGCCGGCGACGAGCTCAAGCGCAAAATTTGGACGTGCCTCGAGCACGCGCTCATGAAGCAGTCGCAGCTCATGCGCGACCGCCATCTTGACCAGATCCTCATGTGCACCGTCTACGTCGTTTGCAAGGTAATCTTCTTTTCAGTCAAATGACGTCCACTGCTGGACAAAGGCCTCCCCCAAGGTTTTCCACAATGAACGGTCCTGCGCTGCCCGCATCCAGGCTCATCCCGCGACCTTTACCAGATCGTCGGTCCACCTAGTAGGAGGCCTGCCACGCTACGTCTTCCAGCCCGTGGTCGCCACTCGAGAACTTTCCTGCCCCAACGGCCATCGTCTCTACGAGCTATGTGCCCCGCCCACTGCCACTTGATTTTAGCAATTCTGCGAGCTATATCGGTTACTTTGGTTCTCCTGTGGATCTCCTCATTTCTGATTCGATCACGCAGACATCATGCAAAACGTCGTTTGCAAGGTAATAACAATAAATAATCTGTCTACTGCGCCATCTAGTCCCGAACTAAACAAAGTTTGTAATAGACAAAATTATAGATCGTTTCTTTCGCCCACCATTCTTCCGCTAATATTTGAGTGTTATCGGTACACGCTAAATCATCCATGAGTGCACACGCACACTACAATAATGACGCCCGGATTGCTCGGATCAAACTCCCCGCACCCCGCGCTTCCCTCGGCCAAAAAGTGGTGGGGCGCGTCTTCGTGGATGAAACGATATACACTGAACTCTGTCTAAATCAAAATTATTTTTTTCCAGGTATCAAATAACGCAAACAATCCTGTGGAAAGAACATTTGCAGAAATCATGAGATGTTACAGACAGAGACCTTTAGCTGATAATCATGTTTATAGATCTGTGTTAATCACCCCTGCGACTGAAGACAGTGAGTGTGATAATTTCAAATTAATATGTTGTCTGTTTGTTTAGTTACAAGTATATTATGTAACCAATTGAATTTGTTTCAGGCCCTGCAGAAAGAAGTGATTTAATCAAGTTTTACAATAAAGTTTATGTGCAATGTATGCAAGACTTCGCTCTTAGATTTGCAGGAAGGCAAAAAGAGGTGAGTCCCTTTGAGCTATTAAAAAGTATTGCTTAAATCAAGAGGTCAAAAACGATAAGAATGTCATGAAAAACAATTTTGATTAAATTGTAGCAAAATGGCTCTACTCATAATACATAGTACACTCCCCAAATATGAGACAAATTCATGTATCATCATGAGTCTTTTAAAAGGATGTCAACAATTTCAATTTCACCCTGTATATTGGGGCTATTTTGCATCAAACAGTCTAAGGATGAAATTGATCAAACACAAAAGACTGATGATGCCACAGTGTTGATCCTGTTGTGCCAATGTCACAACTTTCATCAATTTTGTATTCGGACTTCGGATTCGATGCAACAAGTGATGTTTATTTAAAATTGAAGTGGCGTTCATGTTACTTTTAGTTAGGCGTGACTTTTAAGGTGATGCCTTGCGAATATTGGGCGTTTTAAAGAAGCGCAGAATTAGTTTTAATCGTACTTTTCTTATTACTTATGTTCTTATTTTGAAATATGTCATAGTTGACTAATAAATCTAGTGTCTGGTCGAAGCCGAAACATGAATGGAAANGAACAGCGCATGCTTCTTGGAGCGCTTTATAACGAAGCTAGTTTGGCTACAACTTACCTCAAACAACACTTCATAGGGGTCAGCGGCATTAGCAGGCAGTCTGTTGACAACAGCTCTATAGAAGCACGTGGTCTGTGGCTACAGCGCCATAACCACCGTTCCCTTGGGGAACAGCGCATGCTTCTTGGAGCGCTTTATAACGAAGCTAGTTTGGCTACAACTTACCTCAAACAACACTTCATAGGGGTCAGCCGCGTTAGCAGGCAGTCTATTGACAACAGCTCTATAGAAACACGTAGTCTGTGGGTACAGCGCCATAACCACCGCTCCTTTGGGGAACAAGGCATGCTTCTTGGAGCGCTTTATAACGAAGCTAGTTGGGCTACAACTTACCTCAAACAAAACTTCATAGGGGTCAGCGGCATTAGCAGGCAGTCTGTTAACAACAGCTCTATAAAAGCACGTGGTCTGTGGGTACAGCGCCATAACCACGGCTCCTTTAGGGAACAACGCATGTTCGTCGGTGCACTTTAAAACAAAGCTAGTTTGACCACACAACTTACCTCAAACAACACTTCATAGGGGTCAGCGGCATTAGCAGGCAGTCTGTTGACAACAGCTCTATAGAAGCACGTAGTCTGCGGGTATAGCGCCATAACCACGGCTCCTTTAGGGAACAACGCATGTTCGTCAGTACGCGGCGAGGCTCGCTGCAGCGGCAGCGGCACAACGCGGCGCTTGCTTAACACGTGGCGGTTCTTTTGCTCCTCGTCGATGTCGTCAACCTCGTACTTGCCTTGAGCCGGGAGCCAGCTCACGACCTGGTATGAACATTGTTATTGTATCAGCACATTAGAGTACACATTTTTAATAAAATAGCACTCACTACATCTAGTTAGAAAAATACAGTGATTAGTGTATAGCTTGATTTAATGTGGTCTGTCTGTACAAATCACTATTGAGCTTATTCTAGCCCTTCTATTCAGGCGAGGCGACAAGAGTTGAGCTCTTCTGCATTGCATCATCGGCATCTCAATGCCGATTCAAGCAAGGGTCGTTAGTTCGATCCCCATCGACCTTTATAAAGTTAGAGTTAGTAGTCACCAGACAACTTTAAAAATGTATGTAAATGTGTATAGAAGAACCAAACAGGGACTTGGAAAAAGGCCTTAGTAAATTGCAATCATATAAGCGCAGGATCAGTCGTTGTGGAAATCCGTCGCCTTTATCGAGCAGTGGACGGCATTAGGTTGAATGAAACGATGAATTATAAAAGGAAATGCATTTGAATGTGAAGGAGATGCTATAGTCCGGTCCAGGAGCACTAGAATTNGCGAATCTATGACTAATTATGTCACCCAAATAATAGAAAACGGGCAACGGCTAAGAGGAACAGGCTTTAAGATTTCGGATGAGTGGATTGGTGCATTGATGTTGGCGGGACTACCAGAAAGGTACGCTCCTATGCTTATGGCCATTGAACACTCAGGTATCGAAATAACCGCCGACATTATCAAAACGAAGCTGATGGACATGAGTGATGATGCAAGTACGTCTCCAGTATCCGAGAATGCATTATTAGCTAAAGGAACTCATAATCATAATTCTCGAGGGAAAAATAACAACGTCAACAAATACAGTTATGGCGGGAAACCACAAACGTCAACTGCGCAAACGTCAGAATCGAAAACTGTCAAAGTGATAAAATGCTACAATTGTAAACAAACCGGTCACTACAAAAACCAGTGTCCGAGCTTGGATAAGAACAAAAGAAAGCAATCCAACGCCTTTCAGTGCTATTTTTCTGACTGGAAGGTTCAACCAAAAGAGTTGGTACGTTGACAGCGGCGCCAGTAGACACATGACTGCGAGACCAGAATTGATCGTGAATGCATCACAGAAGTTACACACGAAGGAAATTATCATCGCAAACCAAACAAGTGTTCCAGTAACGTGCTCAGGAGATGTGAATATCGTGACTGTCGTGAACGATATTGAGTATGACATCACAGTTTCCAACGTATTGTGTGTACCAAACTTGACCACAAACTTGCTCTCTGTGAGTCAGTTGATTGAGAATGGCAACAGAGTGACTTTTGGAGAAGGTATTTGCTGTATCTACAATCAGCAGAATGAACTTGTTGGCCAAGCTGAGTTGATTGATGGTGTATACAGATTACATACTTTGGAAACAGAAGAGACAGCAGTAGCAGTGCCAGCAGTGATATCTAGCAGAACATGGCATAGACGCTTAGGACACCTTAACAGTGGCAGCCTTAACAAGATGAAACAGGCAGTAGATGGAATTTCATTTCCAGAAGATGCAAAGATTGCAAAGTCTGACTGCATTACTTGTTGTGAAGGCAAGCAAGCCAAACTNAATGATGTGGCTTTGCGCAAAAGAGAGATTTCAAGAAATTTAATTTATTTTAACAGTCTTACTTTCGTGGCCGAATACGCAATTCCCTTATAACAAGGCAGAGGCGGGGCAAGACCTAAATTTGATGTGGGCAAGACAGATTTCGCGAGGCCTTGTTCTGTGGCGACCTGAAGACGGATTTATATATAATGAAATAATAAAAAAAAGGGTCAAAGGTCTATACATTGACAGTTTCTGATTTCTTGATTCAGTGATTATTTTTAACCTTTAGCTACTGAGGTAGATTTAATTTCACGTAAACACTGACGTGGGGGCCTGGGAGGCCCGTACATATGTGTGCTTATATTTAAAAATATATAATCTTTTTAGGGGTTTATGTTTAATAATTATTAATAGTGGTTATATTTAAATACAACAAAACGATTTTTATCTAAATTATTTGTTAATAAGTACGTATTATTTCAATATTTAGAAAACATGTAGCATTTTTGGCAAAAATCTCATGAAATCATGATTCATAAAGTTATCATGAAAAATATTCATAAATTCAACAAATCAACTTAGAATCTTAATTTTCAATAGTCTTTTTAGCTAATGATATATCAGTAGTCCTAATATGAAATAGGGGGAAAAAAATGACACACATCAAATAGTGCGAATTAAACACAGTCTGGATAAACTTGCTTTGCTCAGTGAAGGAAGCCATACATGTTTTTAAAATGTAGATTTCATTTGAATGTTCAAAATACATGTATGGCACTTGGTTTCATCGTTTAAATCTTGATAGACAGGTATCATTTCCTAGCATAGGTGCCAAAAACTACTGTTCTTCTATTTTTCGTTAAATACTAGTTATTTTTACTTCCGAGATACCGCTTTCTCTCGGACGACATACTGTGGGCTCCGTATTATAGATTTTTTCAAATTATTTCAAGAAAAGACGACAACTAAATGAAAACTATAAACAAAAAAAGTTACGCCAATACTGAGGTGGGGGCCTGAGAGGCCCACAAGAAACTTTAAAATTAATTTACCTACTGAAATTGCGCGTGCAATCACGTGCACCGTTGTTGACAGCCTCAGCGCAATGAAACTCGAAGGTACTAAAAGATTCGGGTGTGTCGTGCACGTGGGAGAGGAGAAATTCAACAATTTGATTTTTGCAAGGCCTGAGAGGCCCCCACGTCAGTAGTTAAAGGTTAAAGGAATATTGCGCCAAAGAATAATGTTCGTCACTTAAAACCGTGTTGTTGCTTAATTTTGTGTCTGATTATGGCTGAATTTGTTTGGAAANCTGCTTTACAGAAGTGCCACCAGCAAAAAATTATCAAATCATTTAGATTACGTTTTTATGTGATTACTTCTTTTGTTTTTTTAGGAATGCCGCCAAAAAGCTTACAGAGAACGACTCAAAATGGATAAACATGATGGAACAAAAATAATTTTATTAAAATAGTATGAATGATTACTCCCTTATTTTATTTCTAACCCCTTAATATTACCCCGTATTTGGGTGCATACTTACAAATATTTCGAATTGAATAAATAAAGAGCATTCACAATATTTCGCCAATGTATAACAAGCCTTATGGCCTTACTATTTCGTTACTACCGTTTCGTTACGTACATTTTTTTTGAGAAATACTCAGTTGTGTTGAGTTGAGAGGTCAGATTATTAAAATAATAAAGCGAACATTTTATTTTTGAAATATATTTTAAAAATAATTAACATTACATATAACAATGAGAGGATGACATTGCAAGGTGGTGCCAGTCCAGTCTTAAATCCGTTGATATATGCTGCATCTGCCATCTTTTTGACTAAAAGATTCTTCTATCTCGCAGCTTAGACTTTTATAGATAATTCCTGGCAATAAGTGGTGACTGAGTTTGTTCCGGCGTTTCTTCTCAGCACTTGCCATATGTTTGTCTCGAAGCGCTGGTAGGGCCCAAAAGATAAGGAGACATGTAAAGTGCCCCATAAGGGCTACCTTTTCTTTTTTATTATTTTCTATTGACGTTCATAAGTGCCACTTGTGGTCTAAACTGAATAAATATTTTTGATTTTGATTTTGATTTTTTTTTTGATTTACTACAGACCTTAGACAGTATTTTTGTAAAAATTTTTACGCTAGAATTTTGTCCAATGACCCCAAGCTACCCATCCTTATCGCTCGCGCGTAATTATATTGCTGTCGCGACTGTGGGACGGGCGCCCGCAGTGATTGTGCGAGCGTGACAGCAACATATACTCAACATCAAATAAACCGCACCTTCCGCGACGCGAACTTTAACGATTTTCTTCTGACACAATCATGGTGCCCCAACAATATTGGTGTTATTTGAAAGCCCAATAAATATCCTTAAAGAAAAACACATTTAATTTCTCAATAAACATGTACCATAAATGTGACTTGAAAAAATACCTCACTTTGGGCCCACCTATGGGATCAATTAGACCAATTTTTATGGTTATAAAACCAAATAATGATCTCACGTGTCCTCTTTAACAGATGGATAGCGATTAATCCCAACTTAACAGTTTTATAGCCATAAAAGTTGGCTTTAGTGTAACTACCTATTTTTTGAAGAAGTGACTCTGGATCCTTCCCTAGACACATTTTTGCGGTAAAAACCTTTTCTTTAATGAAATGAAGGTTAGATCTAGGCTTATAAATGGTGCCAATATTGATGGGAAGTGGGGATGCATACGTTTGAAAATGCTTGTCGCGAGAGGTGCGATTTATTTGATGTCGAGTGTAATTACGTGCGAGACCAGACTAGTAATAAAACAGGAGCCCAAACCTCAGCCAAGATCCAGTTCTCCTCCTTATCAGACACTCTCACGAGTGCCGCAACTGCATCGCCCGGATGAGCAATATGGCCAGGGTCGGCCGGCACCGCGCCGCATAGTGCAGGCGCGCGCTCGCCCGCCCTTCCCACGTGGAGAGGTAACGTCTGTGCGGCGCTTAGAAGCATCTTCATTAGCGCGCCGCAACCGATGGTTTCTTTATTGCCCGCGTGACGCGCCTGGGAAGAGAGAAAGAAAGAAATAGAAATACCCTTATTTGACACAAAAATACTAATGAACAAATAAAAGAAAAGAATAAAAACTAATGCTAAACATGTCTGTAACATTATGAATATTCCATCTTTGTACAACTCCATGTTTAATGGCAAACAAAGATTCATCATCATCATCTCAGCCATAGGACGTCCACTGCTGAACATAGGCCTCCCCCAATGCTTTCCATGTTACCCGGTTGGTAGCGGCCTGATTATGATTATTTATTTATGGATGATGACATGAATAAGAATTTTTGAAATGGATAACACTTTTAAGCACACCACACTCTTAATAGCACATCTCTTAAACTTAAAGTAAGTGCAGCATTTATGTGTGCTCTGCTTCATAGCATTTAGTATATTCTACTTCTACTGACTACAATATTAGCATTTAATTATTTATTTATTTATTTATATTAAGAAGACCAGGGTTTACATAATTGATTAATTTACAATTAATAACACTTGATAACCACTTATAGGTCCCCACAGATAGAATTGTGGTGGATATTTAAAGAAATTATAAAAAACAGTATTATAATATTATAATTCATAACAATAGGCCACCTACTTGGTAATTCTGTACAGTTCCAAAATAAGTTTTATGTAACTTAAAACTGTACCAACAATACAAATTAATAAGGTAGACTTAGAATATAACATACTTGCATTCTTCTTTCATTCTTAATGGCTCTTATCTCATAAATCCGTGTGAGAGCCGCCCTGAGGAGTCTTTCTTCTTGTTCTGCTGCCGTCAGACCAGCCTTGTACAAGTTCTTTAATTGTTGTTGCTGTAAAGAAAAATTTAGAATAGTCTATATTAAAAGCATTTTGAATCATCAGATTTATTAATAAAAACAACATAGTCCCTGTATTTACTGGAAACAAAGTTAATGGTTATTATGGTTTCTTCATATCCATTTGAAAATTACCTGCTGGGAAGAACCAGAAGAGTCCTCTGCATTTGATGGTGATTCTGCTGCCTTTTCCGCCCGCAATATATTATCAATACATTGCTCATTGTGGCTCCTCTCTGTTTCTATATCGTATACCAGCCTATGCAAGCTCCGAAGACGTTCCTACAGAAATATTAAAGAATAAGCTTCACATTATCACATGATATAATACAAAGTTTTGCCCAGAATCATTGCTAGATAATTAGTATTATGGCTATCTTACTAGGCAAAAATAGAAATCTAAAATTCCATACAATTCCCAGGCTTAGATTAATAAAACCATTAATCTAAGTTCCCAGGGAAAAACAAGCTTTTACATGGGTAGCTAATATTTTAGTAGTAAGTGATTTAGAAAGAATCTAAAGGTAAAAGAATTTATTTCAATACAAAACTATAAATATACTTGAACTTGCTGGGCAGCAACATCAGCTGTAAGCGGCATTTTAGTTGGGTACAGCCGCCAGATACCTGGCTATCCTTATGACGTAGAACCAGCTCACCAACACGAATACCTGCAGACCGACAGCGGGAATCAAGAAGATATGAAGAAGTATAACCGAGTAATTATTATCTGAGAAAGTAACACACCATAATAGTTAAATTAAACCAAAACTTTAGACTACTTCTCATTTGAACTAAGTTATTCGTGTAAGTTTAATGACAAATTATTGTTGCTTAAAATAGCGCATCAAGAATATCACTAAATAGGTAGTTGATTAGAAATATTTACCAAAAAAATCCCACTGAATCGATTGCACAAAGTAAAACAAACATTAGAGTTTGACAGTTCTGACACAAACAAAAAAAATGGCAGGCTGGTGTAGTTTAACTACGCTTTCTAGACAATCGACTTTTATATGGCTAAAATTGAGTTGTAAAACCCCATAAGTATTTTTTGCTGTTTTGACGCGAATAGCTAAGAGGATCAAACAAACCACACCTATTTTAGGACATTGCCTAGAAAAAAAAAGCATGTTATTTTCTACCTGCTCTTGTACCTAAGGTACTGAACCTTCCATTATTGTATAGTTTTATTTTATTTATTATGTCTGGTGGTGTTTTATAGTGGTAGGTGAGTAAATTATTATATTATCTGCTGCCGACCGCCGGCGTGGCGGTCTTATGATATCTGCCTCTCTAAGCTCCTATTATACCTCTTGAACACGTTTTATTTTTGTATAGAGATATTTATTTCATAGACCAACAGTAGGGTGTCCCAGGCTAGTAGGGCGAAAATTTTTTTTAGATTTCCGGTACGCATACCCTTTAGTTTTTTTCTATTTGACCCTAGCAACTAAAAAATCAAATATTATTAGTATCGGGTAACTATAACCCGTGCCGACTTGACGTCAAACTTTTACCAAAAAGTTTGTAGGTATGAAGCTGTCTATATCCTATGATATTGTAGAACTTAACATTTGTTTAGTAAATACAACGCTGTTTTAGCTGCATATTATTTTAATTAAATATCTATTATTAAAAAGATGTTAATAATTCGTAAATTTTCTTTTGAAATATCGTTTTTACAGTCAGGATCCTGCCTTACTACCTGAAAGTGTTATTTTTAATAAATTAAAAATTTTATTGCTGTTGTTCCTACCAAAACTGGTCCATTAGAGGGAACTTTGAACCGGTAATTTGATGTTTTATAGCCCACCCTATTAAAAATATTCCTTTTTTTTTAGAACTGTGTAATTGCACTGATATGTTGGCTGAATGAAAATAATGCATTTACGAATAAAACAAACAAGTAATAATTAGAGATGGGTTTCCACCCGGGTAAAAACCCACATGAGGGTAAAAACCCAATAAAAACCCGTTTCATTCCACCCGTGGGTGTTTACACCGGGTGAAAACAAATAATTTTATAATTATTTCAATTGGTATCTTTTCTTTATTTTTATTGAATTTTTCTCATTTAAGTTTATTGATTAATAAGTAATAAGTCAAATTTAACACTAATATGCATTTATATCGTGACCAAATCATAAAATTGATCACGTTATGATGATGTGACCAATTATTTTATAAAATGGTGTTATTTCAAGAATCGTTGAACCGATTTAGAAGAAATTTAGTAGGAACACAATAATTTGTGATCATGGCAAGGACATGGAGGGGGGAGGGGGGGGGATGCCAAAGATGCCAAACTCTCTTTTTGATGATATTACGTTATTATAAAGTTACAAATAACTATACCAACTACAAAGTACTTCTGCTTAAAAACTTGAAATCGAACCGCCCTTCCGCCACTGTAACGCATTGTAACGTTTTTCAAGACCTCCTCTCCCCCCAGATTGCATTACGTAACACTAGAACGCCCCCTTAGCAACAAATACCACTTCTGACTTAAAAAAAAACGCTATTTTTGTTTTCACCCACCAGAATGGGTGATAATGGGTAAAAACCGGGTTTTTACCCAAATCACCCAGTTTTAACCCAATCGGGTGAAATGGGTTTTTACCCACTACCCATCTCTAGTAATAATAGGCACTTCGATACTTTACCTCCCGCGCGGCCAAGTAAAAAGTACTGACATTATCGATGCAAGTCGGCACGGGTTGCCGTGGTTCTAGGTATACAAAATTTTATATATTATTGTTTTGACACGATTCAAACATAATTAGAGGGTATGCGTTGAAAAAAAAAGACTGATTTTTTTGGGACACCCTAACCAACAGGGTATATTAATCATTAATACCAACACAAAAAAAAACTATAAATTCCATCTTGGAGTGGTCTACAAGTTTTTACTTAATTTTTTGCCCCTTACCTTATGTTTTCGTTATCGGCGGCCATTAACATGTAGGTACTTGAAATATATTCTTCCGCTCTTTCCTTCTTCTTATTTACCTTTGAAGGGTTAATTGTATTTGTGACTGTCTTGTTGGTTGTCCTAAAAATAAAATAAAATCTTTTTTTTCTGTTAATTTGATAATTTTGACTTACACCACTTTAGCTACCGACACAAACGTCATTATTTAAAAAATCCTTAGGCAATAAAACCCTCTCTTGAACGTGGCATTTCCTCTCTCTACCTAGTCTATGGATCTGCTTTGTGTCTATGGATTTAACGTAATAACGTTACTTTATTCCATACTAATATCGGTTCCATGCGCTTTTACCATGAGTCTTTACAGCACTCCTATTTCGAGTTTTCCTTTCCTATCCCAATAGTACTTTAACCTACCCTTTGGGAGGGTGTAAATGGAGCTGGGCTGGGATAACCGTAATACCCGTGATCCTGGAATCACTGGAATGTCTGTTTCCTGCTGTCCAAGCAAGCCTAAACCCATTTTGATACGGTTGAACTAATCACGTTTACCCTGCGTTTACTCACCCATTAACACACGTTTCCTCGAGTTTCATTGCCATGGAACGAGCATGAAAGTACCTACATAATGTTCCTAGTCTTGATGAAGACAGACGGCATACTTATGATCTTTCTCAGTATAGTGTTATGTGAAGTTTTATCATAGTCGAACTATTAAAAACATTTATGAATTAAATGATACTCAGAATCAAGGGTGTTATCATGATACCTAATATATCTTTTTACAGGATGTCCCAAAAAGAGCGTGCCAAACTAAGATGATAACACTGGATACTATTTAAACAAAAAAAACTTTTGGCACGCCCATTTTGGGACATCTTGTATAAAATGAACCGCGCTGTACCTACCTACCTTATGTTTGTCATTCAAACTATGGGAGAAATTATGGGAATCAATCAAATCAAACAATGTAAATTTTCTTAAAAGTATTTCTTAATTATTCTTATCAAACATTTTTTTACTTAGATAATTTCATTTTTTTATACTTTTGAACATGTTCTGCTGTATTTTTTTAGTGAAATCACTTGTAATTATAGTTATGGAAGGATACAAAGCACATCAATAGGTCTGAGCTACACCAAACATTTGTCATGTTGAAACATACAAGTAAAAACATCTTCCCACTGGGTGGATGACTTACTTATTACATGAGGAAATTAAATAAATTAAGTAAGAATAAAAACGTTATTCAAACTTCAACTTAATCAATTACAATCTTTGTTAGGTAGGAATATCTTACTGTCCTAAGTTCTAAAATAACTAATCGGTCGGTTTCTGGGATAACGACAGTCATTCCATGCTACGAACCAGTCGGAGGTACAATGCAATGAAGAAACATTTACGCGAGAATAGTCCAACTAAAATACTTATCCATTAATTCTAGATCAAAGCTGGTGCAGCCTTACTTTTGATTAATAAATTACATTACATCTATCTATCGTTGTAAAGGCGTGACAACACATGGCATATTTTTTTAATTCACGTTATTTGACTAATGCCAAATCTTTCACACAAACTTAAGCAATTTTATATTGGCTAAAAAGCCCTGTTTGTACAAAACATGCCATGTGGAAGTTGTACCTATATTACTACTATACTCATACGAATTAGTCAAAAAAAACTTGTTTGATTTAGCCATATAAAAAACAATATCGAATGATACAGGTAATAACAGGTTCCAAGTGTTTAAATCAATTCGAGCCCATTAAATCAAATTCTCTTGATATCTGATTATTTCACTCTTACTAATATTTGATTCAAAATTAAAATTTTAAGTAATTAGATAATGAACGGCAAATAATACGCCATCAAGTTTCAACAATGTCACTACTAGCTAAAAGAATCACATAGTATCAAGAAAGAATTATAAATAATACACTATGTAGTGTTTCCCTAAATTAATTCCATGGGTAGTTTAATAGAGCAATAGTCCAATATCAATCATTGGGATCGCTCCTTCATAGGGGTGGGTAATAATTATTTGTTAACATAATAATAAAACCAAATACATATAATACGTATTATCAGTAACAAGGGCATTATCAATTTGTTGCTTTACCATGTATATTGTATAAGCTATTCTTCTTAGTTATTTGGTCATCACATCAAACCGTAAAGTACAATTTCGTAAGGTGTTGGGTCGGCAAAAACTGAAACAAAGAGTTCACACCAAGTTTCTAAATTCTGGGAAAGAATTTCCATTCCGGGAAAATGATCTCTGAGTTAACTGTTTAAGTTTGTGCCAACTTGTCAACTGAACCTCTATTTTATATCCAAATATTACAGATCCATTTTGTGACGATTTAAAAATACACCGTTAATATCGAATTAAATTAAAATACTAAATTCAAAGTACACGTAAAATGTAATTTAAAAATTATATGAGACTGAATATAAAATAATACTTATTGTAATTAGAAATGCGGGATTCACAACGTTCCCGAGTACGCTACATCGATACAGATCGCAGCGCGACAGCTTCCGTCTGTTAAAAGGCTCGCTCAGGTCAAGCTAGCATCTCTAACGGGGAATCTTCCAATACTCGAACGGTATCAATTTACGCTTTACTCTTATATTATTAAAATTATTTAATATCGAAGGCTACCATTTAAAGATTTAGAATAATAATAACAGTGGAGTAGTCGATTTATTGCCTACAGAATTCATACACTTCAGTGTCTCGCCACATCGGAGCGGTCGACGTTAAAAATAAACAAACTTCATCATTAATCTTATCTACTCGGCGGAGTCTCCAGGGAGACGGGGTTACCTACACGGAGTCCCGGAGGCACAGTGGAGCGATGGCGGAGCGGCGCCGGCCCTCGCCCCGTCTACCGCACTCAGTACGGGACGTAATACGTGCCGCGCCTGTAACCTCTGCGAACAACGCAACGCCATTACTCACTGCGGAGGCGCCTCGACACGACTGACTTGCGAGTTAACGTGCAAAGGCGAGTTAAGTTCGTCTCGGTTTACCTTGAAGGCGACGGATGTTTAGTCAAATTTTCGACGACTCTTTTGTCTTCTTTAAATTTTTCTATGCGGACCTACCTTGCTTTTTTTTACGATCGTAGCACGTTTGCGGTCCATGGCCTTAACTCGACTGTGCCATATAACAAGCGTTGCGACAAAACGTTACACCCATAATAATAACACTACAGTTCCAATCATCATGCAGACGTGTAAGTTATATGTCAATATTATAAATAAGGATAGATAGGGTTGCTGTATTAAAATACATAGTTCTCCATTGCAAACTTTATTCAATATAATGTCTTATAATGCCTTCTTTTGATCAACATTACATGTTTGGAAATATATAAAAAGTTTGTAGAAAATATAATGACAATAGCCATGCACATACATTACTTATACAACACTACTTATGTACTTTTATTGTCTTTTGTCTATAACTATAAACAACCAAGGAATAATACATCAAAATATAAAGAATAAAATATGTACCATAAGCATTGCATGACTGGCAAGTGAACAAATTGTAGCTTAAATAAGAATGCAACTAAGTAAATCAAAGAAATAATAAGAACATGTACTATTAAATCTACAAATAAAAAATAAAACAATTTGGCAAATATCGGAAATGTATACAATAAGTTATTATCAAGAATTCTGAAGGTCTCATGCCACCTTACACCCAATATAGCGAAGCTAGCTCGCGCTAGTGTTCATGCTAATCTTAAATAGGAGGTAAACTCAAATTGGAGTAAGTGCATTCGATAAATAATCATGATCATTTTAATCATATTCATATTTTATTTTGACATATTGTTCGGTCCAGAAATGGCCATTGTTTTCATGTATGCAATGAATAATTGAGTTTCGAACTCAACTAACAAAACAAGATATACTTTTTAAAAGGCAATCCTAACAAGGGCAACAGATTTCATTTCAAGAGAGAAAACACATTTAGGCATTGAGATTTAAAACGTTTAATACATGGATCTAGTTTTCAACATTGGCAGAAAAAAATATAATAAGGCAGATGCAAAACAGAAAATATTGCGACATCGACTCAATAACACATTGCATACACAATAAAAACATGCCGATGTTTTAATTTTCAAGTCGCACATTCAGCGCTTCTGCGTTACATGAACAGAAAACTAAAAAAATGTACTACAACATTTAAAATGCACATCGGTGTGAGTGGAACATACACACAAGATTTGCGAGAGAGAGAGAGTATTGCAAATGTTTGTTTGTATGTGCAAGCCTATGGCGGAGTTCTAATATGGATTGTACCTGCCGCGTCGCACGGGCCGGTAGCCCGAGTAGTAGGGCGAGTAGCCGCCGCGGAAGCCGCGCCCGCGCCCGCCGCGCATCGTCCGAGGCGGCCGGTTCGTCGACGAGAGCCCAGGTTTGTTGGTGCGTTTTGGCATCACCTGAAAATCACAACATTATCTGATTATCTATATATATAAAAGAAAGTTGTGTTAGTTACTCCACTTAACTCAAGAACGGCTGAACCGATTTAGCTGAAAATTGTCCGGGAGGTAGTTTAGAGCCAGGAGAAGGACATAGGATACTTTTTATCCCGTTCGAAATTAAAAAAAAGTCTGCTTATTTATGACCATTAAGGCGGAACAAAGTTCGCCGGGTCAGCTAGTTAATAAATAAATGGCAATTTCTCGAGTGGCGACCACGGGCTGGAAGACATAGCGTGGGCAGGCCTCCTACTAGGTGGACCGACGATCTGGTATAGGTCGCGGGAAGAGCCTGGATGCGGGCAGCGCAGGACCGTTAATTGTGGAAAACCTTGGGGAACCTTTGTCCAGCAGTGGACGTCATTTGGCTGAAACGAACGAAATGGCAATTTGCAGCTGAAAAACATAGCTGATTTTTGTCTTCCACATCTATGTAACTGTTTGTGTGTTGAATTTTGTTAAAAGATCTATTTTTACAACATTAATATAACACGACTAAAAAGTTCATTAAGTCTGTAACCAGTGTTGTTACCTCAGTTGTTACAAGATTGCAAATTCTACACAAATCACACAATAGAAGAACGCTTTAAAAGTAATATTATCACTATAATTTATACAAACCTTAATCTGTCTTCCTCTAAATAATGATTCATCCATTGCCATTGCTGTTTGTACACTATCTTTGTCTCCAAACTCAATATAAGCGAAGCCTTTTGGATGTCCGTCAAATTTATTGCATAATATTGTAACCCTGTAAACAAATAAACATTCAATTACATCAATAATACAATGTTAGTGTATGTTAAATGAAAAGGATAAAAGACACAATGAAAAAAATTATATCACAGTAAAATACCTTTCTTACATTATTTAAAACTTATTCTTCTTCAGAACATGTCCATGTTAATAGTATGAATTTTAAAATTTAGTTTGAGATAAAACTCTCAAGGCAATTATTTTTTAATAAATAGAAATTCGCTATACAAATTAACAATACTGACCTATTAATAGATCCACAGCCATGGAAATGCTGTTCCAGTTCCTCAGCAGTAGCCCCGTAGTCCACATTTCCAACGTAAACTGATCTATTGTCCGCTTCTATCTTCTCTTCAATTGACATGTTCAATGGACTTGCTGTTTGAACAGATTAGCACTTATTTAGATCACAGCCCTTTTATATACAAGTAAAAACATACGGGTCGAATTGAGAACCTCCTCCTTTTTTTGAAGTCGGTTGAAAAGTCATTAAGTAATGAAGTCATTAATTAAGTGGGGATTAGTGAAGTGTTTTTTTAAGTGTGTAAATTAAGATTAAGTTCTGTAGTTTTAAAACTGAGAACTGCAGGCAAATAAATACCACAAAATGAAGTAATTAAGTAATTGATGGATATTAGTGAAGTGTTTTGCNTTGGCTGAAACGAACGAAATGGCCATTTGCAGCTGAAAAACATAGCTGATTTTTGTCTTCCACATCTATGTAACTGTTTGTGTGTTGAAAGATCTATTTTTACAACATTAATATAACACGACTAAAAAGTTCATTAAGTTTGTAACCAGTATTGTTACCTCAGTTGTTACAAGATTGCAAATTCTACACAAATCACACAATAGAAGAATGCTTTAAAAGTCTGTGAGATTTGTAATTTATACTAAATATTAATATTACTATCATTTTATACAAACCTTAATCTGTCTTCCTCTAAATAATGATTCATCCATTGCCATTGCTGTTTGTACACTATCTTTGTCTCCAAATTCAATATAAGCGAAGCCTTTTGGATGTCCGTCAAATTTATTGCATAATATTGTAACCCTGTAAACAAATAAAAATTTAATTACATCAATAATATAATGTTAGTGTATGTTAAATGAAAAGGCTAAAATACACAATGAAATCAAAATAATACCACAGTAAAATACCATTCTTACATTCTTTAAAACTTATTCTTCTTCAGAACATACATGTCCATGTAAATAGTATGAAATTTAAAATTTAGGTTGAGATGAAACTCTCAAGGCAATTATTTATTTATATTAGGGAAAGTAACAATTTTGATATACAGACAAATAATCGCACAAAAAATAGGACAGAAATCAGCAAAGTTTCCAAAGTTCATATTTAAATGAAATAGTTTTAATTCGTTATACAAATTAACAATACTGACCTATTAATAGATCCACAGCCATGGAAATGCTGTTCCAGTTCCTCAGCAGTAGCCCCGTAGTCCACATTTCCAACGTAAACTGATCTATTGTCCGCTTCTATCTTCTCTTCAATTGACATGTTCAGTGGACTTGCTGTTTGAACAGATTAGCACTTATTTAGATCACAGCCCTTTTATATACAAGTAAAAAGTCATAAAGTAATGAAGTCATTAATTAAGTGGGGATTAGTGAAGTGTTTTTTTAAGTGTGTAAATTAAGATTAAGTTCTGTAGATTTAAAACTGAGAACTGCAGGCAAATACCACAAAATGAAGTACTTAAGTAATTGATGAAGATTAGTGTAGTACTTTTCAAATGCATTAAGTGTAAATTAATTTTAAGTTCTGTAGATTTTAAAGTGAGAACTGTAGAGACATAAATACCACAAAATGAAGTAATTAAGTAATTGATAGAGATTAGTAAAGGAAGTGTTTTTCAATTAATTGCATTTAGTGTGTAAATTAATTTTAAGTTCTACAGATTTTAAAGTGAGAACTGTAGACAAATAAATACCACAAAATGAAGTAATTGATGAAGATTAGTGTAGTACTTTTCAATTGCAATAAGTGTGTAAATTAATTTTAAGTTCTGTAGATTTGAAACAGAGAACTGTAGATAGAGACATAAATACCTACCACAAAATTAAATGAAGTAATTAAGTAATTGATGGAGATTAGTGAAGTGTTTTGCAATTGCATTAGGTGTCTAATTTTAAGTTCTGTAGATTTGAAACAGAGAACTGTAGAGACATAAATACCACAAAATGAATTATTGAAGTAATTGATGGAGATTAGTGAAGAAATGTTTTTCAATTGCAATAAGTGTATAAATTAACATTAAGTTCTGAAAATTTAAAACCTAGAACTGTAGAGAAATAAATACCACAAACAAACTTTTATCATTAGGAGTCCTTATCTCTCATTTTGTCATGTTGATTATCTATATATATAAAAGAAAGTCGTGTTAGTTACTTCGCTTATAACTCAAGAACGGCTGAACCGATTTAGCTGAAAATTGTCAGGGAGGTAGTTTAGAGCCAGGAGAAGGACATAGGATACTTTTTATCCCGTTCGAAATTAAAAAAAAGTCTGCTTATTTATTGCCATTAAAGCGGAACAAAGTTCGCCGGGTCAGCTAGTTGAGTATAAACAAAAACATTTTTGTTTCACATTCAAAAATTATTCACTTTCACACATAAATGATTAAACATGTATGTAATACTTACTTAGTCCTGGAGGGCTTCCCATATTCATCTGCTTATCAACCTCAGTTTGCATTTGTTTGAGTTTTTCAGCCTCCTCTTCCATCTCTCGGACCCTGGCCTTAATCGCGGCCAGGTCTGGCACTTCGCTGCCTGCTGCTTCATCGCCACCCTACAGATAAATAACCGTTATGCCTCTGTTTATAACCTAACACCTAGTTTAGTAACAAACTTGTAAAATGATACAAACAATTAGGAACATTTTGAAGTTACTGGTGATGTAAACAATGCAACAGATTTTTATTTATTGTCAATACAATCACAATAAGATACAGAAACCGTATTCTTTACGTCAGCTAAAATACCACGACAATTGGCACATCAATTTCAGAATCAGATGTTTACTGTCGTGGTATTTTTCGCACTTAACGCAAATCTAGACAAATGGTACTCACTCCAAGGCTGCTATCCGTCATATTTAGGGAACCGTTGGTTCCGTCCAAGTGATTGTTATCAAGTGAATCTAAATAATCATCATTTTCTGCCATATCAACTTATCGACGCTACCATGAAATTCTGTTCCGAATATGGAAAAACACTTATGTTCCTAAAAGGTAGACGTTTTATTAGTAAATTAAACAAAAAATATACATAATTACAACAGTAATGAAGATACGATGCTTTGACAGAAAGCTACTCTTCTTCCTTACCTGCAGAGGTACCGGTAACCAAAATCTATTACGAAGATTGACCTACTTTTAAAATATAGCCGACACTATTCACTTTTGTACACACTAATTAATAACAAACAAATAAATTATGTTAGCGTCATAGCACTTCACTGATAATTCTGGATTTATTTTGAAGAAAACTGGAAAAATATCCCCAAACAACTATTTTTGACAACTGGTTGACAGATAAATCATAAACAAAACAAGAGACAAGAAACAAGTAAAAACTCTACAATTTTACTTGTCTATGGTATACACGAATGAAGCAAGGTTGCAAGGAGATTGGCGGGAACCTTGAAACAAGAAAGGCGCCCAATTGCAATTTATTTTGAAAAATTGTTTTAAAGAGTTAAATTTCGTCTTGTATCTTGTCTTGTGTTTGTATATAAGTTTGGTGGCAAAGTCAAGGATGGGAGGAAGTAAGAAGCGCAAAAAAGATCCTCATGACGGAGAGTCGCCGGTCGACACGTCCTCCGACACGGAAGACAACATGGAAAAATACCAGGTTTTTAAAGTATCGGGGTACTCAAGAAAGTACCCTGAAAACAGTCCAAAAAGCGAATTTATAGTTTTCCTCGCACATAAAGACGAAAAGCAGTTGTTCACTGACAAGGACCGACTTGCGATTTCACACTCGATTAGAAAACACTGTATAAATGGCATTTTACATCTAAAGCCTATAAATAAGTACAAAATTGGTATCACTTTCGATCTCTCGAATAATGCTAATGTGTTTATACAAAATAAAAAATTTATGGATGAACTGGGGTTGAAAGCTTCAATACCCGCTATAGATACCGAAGTTACGGGAGTCCTCAACTCAGTACCTATTGATCTCTCAAACAAAAGAATATTTTCTTTAATAGGCAGCTCCAGAAATGTTATACAGGTCAGGCGATTCATGCGTCGTGTGCGAAACGAGGGTGGTTCGGTCTCATATCAGCCTACTCAGACTGTCGCTGTTACCTTCGCATCGACAGAACTACCACAATACGTGTACCTTGACTCCTGGAGGCATGAGGTCAGTGTTTACGTCCCGCCAGTAAAGCAATGTTTGCATTGTCTCAAGTTTGGGCACATTGCCAAATATTGTAAGAATGCAGAAGTTTGCTCCGTCTGTACACAAAACCATAATTTTAAAAACTGCACAGAGGATCCCAAAAACGCCAAATGTAACAACTGCGGTGGTAACCACATCGCAATATCCAATACGTGTCCCCAAAAAAAACTTAAAATAGAAGAAAACAAAATTAGATCAAAAGCAACCAAATTTTCGGATTTATTTAATGAAAATTCATTCCCGCAATTAACAATGAGAAACATTGAAACACAAGTACAAAATTTGACTAAATCAGACTTTTTTATGACTATTCTAACCAATGCTATTACTAAAATCATAATTACTCAAAAAGACAAACCTATAAACTCTTCATCCATTATCCGGTGTTTGAAGTTTAAAAATCTAAGAAACTTTTTCTGAATTTTTTCAATTTTTTGTATGTAATAATCATATTGGGGATTCCATGCTTGCATGCATTTAATCACTATGTAATAACCTAAGCTGGTTGTATGCTAATGACAGTGTCAGTGTAGGCTGTATAGTTCTGTGTAGTTCTGTCTCAAGGGCTTTGGGAGGACACCGTCATTCAGGTTTTAGTGAGTATGTCCAACCTGCTGGTTCTCCCGGGCCAGTGGGTATGCAATTTTAATACTATTCCTGATGAAAAAAAAGGCTGTGTATATCAGTGTGTGTATTGATTTATAATTGTCACATTTACGTGTGTTGCAGTGCTGCTGTGCATCTTCAGCTACCTGGACGACCTCTCCTTGAGCGCGTGCGCGTGCGTGTGCGCGCGCTGGTGGCGCCTGGTGCGCGCGCGCGTGCCGCCGCCGCGCTGGGCCGCCTTCACGGCGCGCCGCTGGCCGCTGTACCGCCCGCTGCTCACCAACATCGACTGGCAAAAATTGTTTTAAAGAGTTAAATTTCGTCTTGTATCTTGTCTTGTGTTTGTATATAAGTTTGGTGGCAAAGTCAAGGATGGGAGGAAGTAAGAAGCGCAAAAAAGATCCTCATGACGGAGAGTCGCCGGTCGACACGTCCTCCGACACGGAAGACAACATGGAAAAATACCAGGTTTTTAAAGTATCGGGGTACTCAAGAAAGTACCCTGAAAACAGTCCAAAAAGCGAATTTATAGTTTTCCTCGCACATAAAGACGAAAAGCAGTTGTTCACTGACAAGGACCGACTTGCGATTTCACACTCGATTAGAAAACACTGTATAAATGGCATTTTACATCTAAAGCCTATAAATAAGTACAAAATTGGTATCACTTTCGATCTCTCGAATAATGCTAATGTGTTTATACAAAATAAAAAATTTATGGACGAACTGGGGTTGAAAGCTTCAATACCCGCTATAGATACCGAAGTTACGGGAGTCCTCAACTCAGTACCTATTGATCTCTCAAACAAAAGAATATTTTCTTTAATAGGCAGCTCCAGAAATGTTATACAGGTCAGGCGATTCATGCGTCGTGTGCGAAACGAGGGTGGTTCGGTCTCATATCAGCCTACTCAGACTGTCGCTGTTACCTTCGCATCGACAGAACTACCACAATACGTGTACCTTGACTCCTGGAGGCATGAGGTCAGTGTTTACGTCCCGCCAGTAAAGCAATGTTTGCATTGTCTCAAGTTTGGGCACATTGCCAAATATTGTAAGAATGCAGAAGTTTGCTCCGTCTGTACACAAAACCATAATTTTAAAAACTGCACAGAGGATCCCAAAAACGCCAAATGTAACAACTGCGGTGGTAACCACATCGCAATATCCAATACGTGTCCCCAAAAAAAACTTAAAATAGAAGAAAACAAAATTAGATCAAAAGCAACCAAATTTTCGGATTTATTTAATGAAAATTCATTCCCGCAATTAACAATGAGAAACATTGAAACACAAGTACAAAATTTGACTAAATCAGACTTTTTTATGACTATTCTAACCAATGC